GCATACACGGGCCTCATATAACCCATTGTGGGGGTTACACAAAAGAGGGTGTGAGCCCCAATGTACATAAAGTACAGCCACAAAAATATGGTGTGGTAGGTGTGAATGTATTATACACCTAACGCTTTCTATAATAAGATGTTACATATGAGTATCAACATACAAACGAAATCAATTTTAGTAAAACATCTGTCAATGAGGATTTGATGATTATTTTTTTGATTTAGATAGAGACAGGACAAGGCCGCAAAAATGGTGTAGCATTTGCCTCCTGCCCCAAACAGCACAACGATTTCTGAGAAACTGGTACTATTGAGTTTATAATGACACGCCTGTAAATAAGCAAAGATGTCGCGTGAAAGTTGCACCTAACCTTGTATATCTATAAATGTTGCGCAAAGTCACTCCATAATAAAAATGTGCTGGATCACTTTTGGCTAGAAGCTTAAGTGCACACCTCTATCAACGGCGTCGGTTCATTAAGACCGTCAAGAACTTCAGTCACGTAACTTAATCTGATTATTCAATTGATTCTCTACTTTATTTTGTCTCTATTGCGTAAATGGTGAAGCGTAATCGTAATAATAGTGCGACCATCGGGAACACCATGAGCTACATGCCCAACTCAACGTCTGCTAGTATTTACGGCACACTTGATATGGACATGGAGCTACAACCTGAGACGAGAGCCGCTGCTAGTGCACTAGTTGGCCCGATTCCCTCTGAAACTATAGCAACAGATACTAAGAAATCTGGACGAGACGGCAAGAATATCTGGGACGAGTACTATCCACTCGTGCAGCCAGCGCACCAGTACCACCACCGCAATGACCGGGGCTCATCTAATTACTTTTTCCACGGAATGTTCTCGGCTGATGTCATGTTGGCATATCGTGACGCTGTCATTGCCTATCTCGTGGCACTTTACTCAATGGTGGTACTCTCGCTCACTGGGCTCGTATTCTGTAAACAATGGGGTATCTTACATGACACACCAATCGTGTTTGGTTTCCGCTTCCTGTGGTTCGTGAGTCCAGTTGTTGCATCATTTGCTTTACGAAACAGTACGTAATTTCATAGAGCTTTAACGAAGTCTTGATGTGGGGGTACTGATTAACGTCTCATTTGGTTATCGCTGTTGTAGTTGCGATGCTGAGATTACAGGCATGCAATACACCACCACACTGGAATATACCACCGCTGTACCACTTCTTCAAGAGCTCTCATTCGTCACGATCCACATTTCGGCTTGCACTTCTGAGCTACTCGGTTCCAGTTCTGTGTGAACTGGCGGCATTTTCTCTTAGTGCTGCAACGAGAATGGTCAACCCAGTACGTCCCGAATTTTCTATTTGATTGGATTTTGCGTAGATTGCTAATTTTGCCACTTACTCTTCACAGTTCAACCGCATTTTTGTGCGAAAACTGGAGTTGGTGTTCAGCTTTAATGACGTCGAGGCGCTTGACTCGGGGCTGGTGTTTTACGTGTTTTACATCAGTTTTTTTGGAATATTTTGGGATCCAGTGCCGCCACAGCGTTACGACATCGGCCTATCGATGGGGTTACAACCTTGCGGTAGGACCTTATGTTTGTTTGAACATTGAGGTTTGCTGTATTCAAGTGGCTCACCCATTTTGCTTTAGGTACAAGTTGGTTCGTCTTCGCAATGATCCAAGAGATTGGATGGAGTGGATCCTTGTTTCCAGGTACGCTCAGCTGCGATTTCACCGCACAAGATACCTCTTTGGTAACGTTGATTCTTATTTGAGCAGCTCTGGAGATTGTGTTTAGCCACTCGACTATCCTTGCGTCAGCTATTACTGGATGCATCTGGGCACTGTGGCATTGGCCCATGATCATTGCTGACGCGCTGGAGGTAGTACCCAAGGGCTCCGGGTATTCAGTTGCTGAAACGCGCGAGTTCCACCTTATCTATGTGCTGGCAGTATTTACGCTGCTTTTGGTTGGCTCTCGCATCATTATGTGCTGGATACAGGGCAATTCTAGCTACGTCATTTGGTCAAGCGTTGTTTACCACGCCACCCACAACCTGTACGTTGCTGAATTTGATCTTGTATTGGGAGAAATGATACAATTCTAACGACAAATACATTTGCGTGCTGTTGCAGTTTCATCACGTCAGTATTTGGACAACTGACTGCTCCACTCTATGATAAGGCTCAACTTTTTATCTTTTTCAGCTCCGAGTCGTCAGTATGTTTGCTTGTGACTGTGTGGTTTTCCACTTGCATCCTCTCACAAATGTTTCAGTGGACATATCTCATGCCAATGCTACGTCGAGCAAATTCGAGGGCTACACGCGCGCTTGCAGCATAGTACTATGCCAGAACTAAATGCTGGCTACCTACATTGTCCGATCAAATCACAAGTGGTCCAGTTGAAGTTTGTCTGGTAGATATTATACTGTATACCGAATACCCTTTTTACAAATATTCTTGTAAGATTCTATAATTACTTAGTGCTTGTTCTACCAAAAATGAAAAATGAAATTGTAATCTGAAATAGATCGGTCTGATTTGTGTGATTAGCATCAACCAGTCGTATTGATGGGCCGCCTTATGTGTCTATTAGAACTCTTGTTAGTGGAGGCAGCCCTTGTAATGTACTCGTGCAATGCTAGTAGTTTACACAATAGCTCCGTATTCCTACAGACTCCGACCGTGGTTCTGCAACAGGTGGATTTCAAGGCATCGATTGAGCTACCGGAGCTCAAGAATGGTGCGTATCTTCTTGATTAGTTGTTTCACTCATGTATTACTGGTTAACGCTGTCTCTCTTTAGGATCAGTATATCCAAAACAATTATGGTACTGCATAGAGGATGAGGATGGTACAGTACTGACCAACGGCACCATCCAAACGCTCGAGGGCGATGGCAACTACCAGTCGCGTTTATCAATCAATATTAAGCATTTACAGCTGAAGTCTTACGGAAAACACAAGCTTACCACGACGGTGTGGGAGAAAGAGAAACAAAAAGTCGAGGCCGAGCCGATGGTCACGAAGGCCCCTCAGTCGAAGGATACGGACGCAAACGTGGTCCTGCCTTTAACGGTCGACATGCTGCTGTTCCGGGTGGTGCACACTACTTCTGTGACAGTGTCACCTGGATGGGTGTCATTGCTTCCACCGCTCGTGACTTTGCTCATGTTGGCTGTGTTAGGCCAAGTCACAGTGTCACTTCTTGCTGGTATTTGGTGTGGTGCTATCATCATTTCGAATGGAAATCCATTCACATCTTTCCTTCGTACATTTGACCAGTATTGGACGAATGCATTCACCGTGAATGATCATGCAGGTGTGCTGCTGTTCACCATCATCCTCGGTGGTACCATTGGTGTGGTCCAGAAGGGTGGAGGGGGTCACGGATTGGCGCTGGTTGCCAAGAAATTTATGACGTCGTCACGGCGCATGCAACTATCGACTTGGTTGCTGTGTCTTGTTATCTTCTTTGACGACTACTCATGCATTCTTATCGTTGGAAGCTCGCTCCGTCAAGTTCTAAGCCAGACGGGTGTTAGCCGTGAGAAGTTTGCAGCAATCATTCATACTGTCGGCGTCTGTTTGCCATCTATGTGTGAGTGTGTTGAATTTTGAATTGCCAGAAGTTTTGTTGTTGTACACGCGACTGACTGTGCCTTTATGTTAAATTGGTTCTGTACGCAGCTCCGGTGAGCGCATGGATTGGTGTCGAAATTGGGTATGTGGCGGCACAGCTCCGCAATCTTAAGCTCGACTGGAACCCGTTCGTCACGTGCCTTTCGTGTTTGCATTACCGATTTTTTCCGATTCTATTCATCGCTTTCATTTTCATCACCATCATCTGTGAGAAAGACTTTGGCCCGATGGTACAGTTTGAGAAGGATGCTGCAGCATCCCCGATTAATCATGGCTCGGCAACTCCAGTTTTTCCAGGACCGATGGACAGTCCAAAGCCAGAACTTGCCCCATTGGAACCTGATACAACCAAACCGCTTCGATGGCAAAATGCGGTGGTACCATTTTTGAGCATCGTCGCGTTAGCATTCGTGGGAATGATTTTCGATGGCTACAACGTCCTGTATATGCAGGACCCCAACAGATCCTTTGGCATTCTCGATGCGCTAAGCCACTGTAATTCAGTGGCCTCTTTGCTCCGCGCGTCTGCTGCAGGCTGGGTCATTGCCGTTGCGCTATTGCTAATGCAGCGTATTATCACGCTGAACGAAGCCACAAAGGCTTGGATGGAAGGGGTAAAGGACATTCTTGACCCGACACTGATTCTTACCCTGGCGTGGGCTCTTGGTTCGGTTATTGGCGAAGTGAGCACAGCTCCGTACATCGCTTCAGTGGTAGGGGACTCAATTCCAAAGCAGTTCCTGCCGGCGATCGCATGTCTTCTATGCTACATCGTGTCGTTCGCTGTGGGCAGTGCGTTTGGCACGATGGCCATTATATTCCCAATCATTGCACCGCTTTCATGGTCTATCAGTGGTGGAGATGCTGAAAACTTGCGCCAATGCTTTGGCAGCATTCTCGGTGGCTCTGTGTTCGGCAACACGTGCTCACCCATTGCCGATACGTCAATCCTCGCGTCTCTCTCGGCACATGTACCTCTGGAGAACCACATTCGCAGTATCCTTCCGTATGCTATTTTGGTTGCTGTGGTTTCCGTCGCTGGTGGATCTCTGCCGATTGGTTTGAAAATCTGTAGTCCATTTACGGCATTTGGCCTGTGCCTTGCTCTGCTGTTGCTCATCGTATTCTTCTTCGGCACTCGTGTCAACATGCGTTACCGATCGATGTCGTCTTGTAGTTTCCTGAGCGTGACGCCACCATCAAGATGTAATGAGGAGAACCAGCCTTTACTATTGGCATAAACATCTTAAGGTTGGTATCAATTAGTGTAGCCATGTTAAATTGGCTGGTAATTCGAGCAACAACTTTTAACCAATCAGAATGTTTGATTGTAGCACGATCAGTGCTTCCATTCGACGACCATGGTTGACTCGGAAGCGCTGGAGTGGACTGCTATAAGCAACCCGTACCTGGATTTCTACCATAAGTTCGTAAAAGAGCATCGAGGAGAACTTACAGCAGTGTTTGATCCAGATCTAAGTGATGAAGTGCGCTCTGAAATGTTCTCGGCGTTGGACGTACGGGTTGCAATGGTGAGACTCATGGAGGTTTACGTCTGTTGGAATTGGTAGTGCTTATTCTTTTGTATGTACACGATTAATAACGTATAGAAATACTCTTGGGCTATTCCTGATGAGCGTGCACTTCAAATTATTAAGCATTACGGACCGGTAAGCGACCATTTGGATTGAATTTTGAGTGGTCATGGACTAAGTTGGTGGTAAAATTATTCGCAGATTGTAGAGATGGGAGCGGGCAGCGGGTATTGGGCACGATTGCTACAGCTTCGTGGCGTAAATATTATTGCTTATGATTTGCATGTTGCTGGTGACGAAGAGGAGGAGGGGGGAGGGTGTGGACAAGAAGATGGATATGGATATTGCCAAAACTGTTGCTACGAGTGGAAAGGAGAGTCCTCCTGAAGCAGAAGAAGCGCAGGAAAGTCGTGGTGAAGAAGCCGATGAGGAATCAGACGACGGAGCAGAAGAAGAAGAAGAAGAAGGAATGGAAGAGGAGAGAGAGGACGAAAATGAAGAAGAGGTGGAGGTAGAACAGGTTTATTGGACAGAAGTGATCAAAGGGACACCTAAGGTGCGTGACGAAACTGCGTCTTTAAGACTTAAGAAGTTATTGATCATGCTGATGATCGTATTCCGCTTTGAGTAAATAGGATTTGCGCAAGCACGCGGACCGTGCGCTGTTTCTGTGCTACCCCGACGATTTTGAGGAAAGCCATGAATCCATGGCACTGGCAAGTCTTTGCAATTATGCAGGCGATATTGTGATCCATGTCGGCGAGCTGTTTGGCCACACCGTTTGCCTTCCAGGTGCATGGTGAGTTTTTCTGTTGTATGAGGTTTTGTTTTATGCGATCAATAATGTCACGATATCGTTAATTTTGCAGGGGTAGAACATCGTCTGAGGAGTTTCAGACTCACCTGGCTACTGTGTATCATAAGATACTGCAGGTGCCACTGCCGTCTTGGCACTCAAGCATGGACACCCTGACAGTGTGGAAGCGTACCAAATCTTCTATAACGGATGGTATGATGTATGCGTTTATTCCCGCGGATGAGCGTATTGACCTCGTTGCTGCGTCTTCAGCTACACGTCATTTGTTGCTTCTCGGCAGCAACGACACTGAAGAATTTGCGGCCTCGATATTAAAGAAGAGATGCAGAAGCAGAGACAATACTAGGCTTGCAGAGACCGCAAACGAAACGAAAAGTGACAACTGTGGCCTACGAGCAAAGCAAAACCAGAGCGAGTAGGTGAATGTTAGAAGCCCATTGCTGATGTGCTAGGCCAATCGAGTGGCGATAATTTACCACTACCGAGAGACTACGACCCTCATGCTAAGATTTCACGCCTCATAATAGTCGGCCAACCTTTCAGCATTATTTGCTCAAGTTTAAACAAAGGATGAGGCTGGTCATAATCGTCACTTGATCGTCTTGCTACTCTACAGTACATTACAATGTACTGGAGAGGTGACACGTTGGTGAGAAAGCTTGACAGTGAACTTTGTCTTGTATGTACAGGATTTATTGCACTACATCTGGTAAACATGACTGAGTAATGGACATGCACGAAAAGATAAGCAGCGATTATGCTGAGTTGTTTGCACAATTTTGCAGCAGTTTGTTGGAAAACGATCTGACTGAAATGTCTACGGGAAGTGACGGACACGAGCAAGCGTGCTGTGGATGAGAAAGTAGCGAACAGTGTGGGATAACTCTGTGCTTACTGCCGTCAATGAGTCTCTGGCTGCATTGCGTATTGTGCAATGGACGAACTGCATAGTCTTGAGACCTTGTTTACCAAAAGGTTCATTGCAGTGCTCAAGTTTCACTCAATGGACGTATCAAATGCTCATAAAGAAACGGTGTGGCGTCAGATTTTGTGTACTTCATATGCTGTCGACCTTGCTTTCAAGGTTTATCGAACGAACACACTGCTGTTCCGTTCATTGGTAAGAAAAATTGCAAGTAAGACCACGGCATTTTGATCTGTTTGTTGATTAAGTGGCCAGCTGTTGCATTCTAGAGACTGCATAGTCGGCGAAAATTGAGCTGCCAAGTCGCGAGAGCTAGGAGTACCAATCTACCGCAGACTTAAAGGAGCAATGCATTATCAAACGCACAAGGTTGCAGCACTTCGATCTCGAATGTAATTGGAGATCAACTTGCAAAGCGACTTATACTCTGCACCAAGCACTCTACGACGAATAGAAAGAAGACTCTTGTTGGTGTGCACTTCACCTGAAGACCAAGCTCGCGACAATAGCAGAAGAAGTATTGCCAAGCGTCTTGAGGTTATAATTAGGCCTGCAAGTCCAAAGGACCGTGATCGTTGAAGCAGCGGAATACCGTGGGTATTAAAATGGTGGTAAGAACACTTGGCTTTCAGTTTTAATCTTGTGATCCCGTCATAGCGGCAGGTCAATTATAATGCGAAGCACCGTTCGCTTCAAGGCGCGCCATATCTCGTTTTCCTAGTTCTTTGTGGCCAGCTTGACCATGTAGCAATGCTTGATGCCTTCTTCCAGGTAGATCTCGTTGCTCATGCAGCTGTAGCCACACTTTTCGTAAAACCCTTTTCGATCGTATTGTGACGACAGCGCAAACATGTCGACACGGTCACGCACATGCGCCTCGATGGCGTACATTAGCTGCGCACCAAAACGTTTTCCCCGAAATTCAGCCAGCACCGCCACACGACCAAATTTGGCCTTGCAGTTGATGTCGTCGAGTAGACAGCGAGCTACCGCCACATATTTGCCCGTCTCGGAGTGTTTGCCAAGGAAGTGGATCGTGCTTGGCTTGTCGCGTGGGTCCTCCATTTCTGCAGCTTTGCGGATTCCTTGCTCGTTGATAAACACTTCCTGTCGTAGATCCATCGCTTGCTGCATCTCGTTGGAATTAGTCACTCGAGTCACAATTAGAGACATCGCAGCTCTAACGACGCGATGTGGTACCTAATACTTATGAAATGTGGATGAATATTCCCTCGATAGGCTGCTGAGGAGAATTTGACATTTCTATGTCATTGAATGAGTCCTGTTAGTCATCTAAGTGTAGTATTATTATCTGATCATTACGATGGTCTTTGTCTTAGTTGTCTTTGTCATTTTACATGTCGTTGGGTGCGTTAATATTCACACTTTTCAGAAAAACTTTGCTTGTCAAACCGTGCAGAAAGCTTGAATGAGTCCACAAGGTATGTGCAAAATGCAATTCTCTATCCCTTCCGTCATGAGTGCACCGTTTAACTCTTACCGCGGCACTCCATACGCACGGCTACACGACTGATCTTGGCTATGTGTCGTCCAGCGCTGCGCTTTTTCGTCTCGTAATCTTTCTCCATAGAAGTGACAGTCATCGCTTTGTCTTCATGCTCGTGAATTGAGGCCTTCCTCTTGGTAGATACAGATCCCTTGGCCTTATTGAATGCTTGTGGCATCGTTACGGACGTTACTTGTCTTGCTATGCTAGAAAATGACAATAGAGCAGGTTCAGGGACAGAACTCATCCGAATGGGCTCGAGATGACTACTTATCACACATTTGAGGCTGACGACCGTACCGTACGGGCCTGTAACACCAATGTCACCTAAGAGGTTGAGGAAGCAAATATACGACTGATCACATCTGGTAGCAAAAGCTGAGTGCGGATGTGTGCAACAACAACATCGATGGATCAAAAGACTCTGGTCACGACGTAACTTTCAAATAGCAGATGGTTGAATTGCTAACGATGCTTGCCATTGGTAATGCATTACCGTTTGGCGACTTGTTTTTTCAACTCGCATCCCTCACAACATTGCGGTGATGCAGTAATGTGCCCCTTGTGAGCCAGCTGGCTACTCAAGCATCGATATTCCATCGCAATGTACCTGACATTTAAAAATGAATGCTTCGCTGAGTAAATTTGTAGCAATCTTGGAAACGCTTTAATGCACTAGACCGGAACAGCTGATGGTGCCGCACTCGGTACAATCCCTCATAATCGTGTAGTCTCGAGGATACAACCTCCGATGGGACACGCTTAAGAGCACATCCGAATTGCTGCCGTGGTCAACTCCAAGACTTGCCTTCAAGGATTCAGCTTTGCATGCACATTTGACGATGTACAGTCAGTAGTTAATGAAAGTAGTAAGGGTGATGGAACTGCAACCTCAAGTACGATCCGACCAACTTGTCTGACATGAAGATGCAGCAGTAGTGGATGGCTTTTTTGAAAACGAGACGTGAAATGTACTTGTGATTTTTGTAAGGTAAATCCTGTCATCTGTACTGTTACAATCAACTCAAGGGACATCTAGCCTATATATCACATGATGTTCATCGACTTATTCTTCTATCTCGCACCTGATACGTGTCCAAAATTCACATGGTGCCGGATTGGTTTCAATCAGTTTGTAACTGTAAAGGGTACGGGTTGAGATAATATATACACTTTATTATGAATCAAATAGTTGAATAACACGAAAAGAATCTTTTATGACCGTCTGCTCTTTGTCCATATTCATGCTAAGCCTCAGATTTTTGAGCCAGGAGCAAAAATTACAGAATTATTGACCTGGACTATGAACACTTGTACTTGTCCCGACGCTTGATTGTGCCGAATTCCTACAATTAAAGAGCAACCCGCTTTGAGCATGTAGAGTCTGGTCTCCCGACCAGCTTTACACAAGAAAACGATTCACTGGGATATCATTCAACACCTCTTTTGCATTATCTCGCACCACAGTGTAAATGAATGCATTTATTTGACCAACGAATCACTCGAGCTGAAAACTGGAAGATTCAACAAGGAGCGAATGATGCGTGATATTGAAGTGGCTCATCCAATGTAAGTTTGAATTCTTCAGTCGACGGGTAAAAGGTAGTTAATAAGTAGCTACGTATGTGAAATTACTTTCGAGATTGCACGACTACAGTAACATCGTATCAGTCAATTTGTCGTAGCTAAAAGCTTCATGCTGACCTCCTTGTGGGATGAAAACTAACTTAGCACATGTAGACGACAAGAAAAGCATACAAAACGAGAAGTTTACGACACAGATATACGTATTGGTATCTCTATCGCTGCAACCATACAAAATTTTGACCGGGAACGTCATAAGCCCAAAAAAAAATGGATTGCTAAGCTTGATGTCTAGTGCTCAAAAGCATTTGAAAAAGTCTGTATCTATTGTTAGTTACTGTTGAGGTCAATAAAGTAGGTAAGTGTCTGTCTTTTCTAACATGAATGCCGAATATCTCACGTACGTTTTTTGGGTTGTGTCCCATCTTGTGTTCTTCAAGACAATCTCAAGGCTAAGAGCGTTCTTGCAAGAATGATTAGCACTATTCTTGTCCAATGAAAAAACACGACACGCATCCCTTGGTTAGGTCAATGACACTTTTTCTTGTCGTTCCTCTGCAGAGACTTCTCTCTCTCTCTTTTTCTTTCTCTCTTTATTGTAATTGATTTATAGTTTCTTAATGGCACATGTTGGTAGTACATACGAATATTGTCAGATTATTTCTGCTCATATTAAAGAACAGAATGAGCTTGTCACACCTTTTCCACTTTCAAAACAACCATTTGGACGGTTAGAACTTAGTGAGACGGAGCATCGGTATTTTCATACTCAAGCAACGGAATTATTAGGATCGGCGTTGAAAGAATATGAAGAATTTGTACTCATACGTCATCGTCAAGTGGATCGATTACGTTGGAAACCATTGAAAAGTCATGAAAATCTTACAGTCTATCGCGAATCAAGGTCTTATGCTGTTGAGGATGAAAATGCCGTCGCACGGGCAGCTACTACGGCACCTACGTCATTTTCCCGACCTTATTGTACATCCCGATCAAGTTTGAGTTCAGGAGGATCTGGACCCGGTTCAATCTCGTTACCAGCACATCAAGTAACGGAGCTAGAACTTCTCACGGGATGGGGCCCGACAGCTACAGAAGCTCGGGAGCGGAAGATGAGAGCAAAGAGCAAGTCCGTTAGTGCTAATAGTACATTGAAGCAAATGCCGACGTTATTAGGAGTGGGAAATATCATTGGATCGTTGGAAGACGTCATGTATGGCGTGGCTGCCCCAGATTGCGCTAGTATGGCACTAAATAACGCCTATTTGCATGAAGACGTGCTGGATGGAGATGTACTGGCTGCTATTGAAGCTCCAACACAACGAAGTCCTTTCCGCTTTCTAGGAATCAAATGGCTCGTCAAGTCTACCATGGGTGGCAATTCCAAGCACAAAGTTGTATCACCAAGAGATTTGGTATACCTTGAAGCAACAGGAATGATTACGCGAGGCGACGGTGTAAGGATTGGATACCAAGTTATGCACTCGGTTAAGTTGCGCGGTTGTCCTGAATTGAGCGACTCCCATGGTGTGATTCGAGCGCGATGTGAAAGTGTACATCTTTTCATTGAGCTGGACACTAAGACAGTCGATGTGTTTCTCAAGTCCAACGTAACGCCAAACGGAAGGATCTCCGAGTCTGCAGTAATGCAGAGCTGTGCGGATTCGCTCTTATTTTGTGGTAAGACTGTACAGAGCTCGCAGAACAAGAAGCTCGCGTGGCAACTAGAATGCGTCAGTAACCTTCGACGCGCACGCGGGCAGGAGAAGAAGGGCAAGGCGACACATTGCAGTGTTTGCAACAAGACTTTTAATCGAATTCTTCGACACAGCTTCGAGTGCAATTTGTGCTCGTCTGCAATGTGCTCCAAATGCTGCGTCGAGCGCACGCTGAAAAGTGTGGATGCGTCAGGCGAGAATCGGCACACTAACAAATCTGTCTCGACGATTGTTGTTGAGCTCTGCACAAGCTGCGTTGCCGCGAATTTACAAAAAAGTGCTCTGATGCTTGCGCGAGAAGAAGTGACGTCTGGACGTTTTGGACGTGTTTCGAACAGCTTGCTGCATTCTCGTGGAAGTGACAACTCGGGGGAGGGTATATCTTCGCTTGGTACTATTGCCCTTGAAGATATTCCGGGGCAACGTGAGCATCACACACGTCCTCCACGTCGATCGGAGGGGAGTACTCGAAAATGTTATCAGTCGAGGGAAAATAGGAGAAGTCACCGCGAACAAGGCTCGTCCCGCGAAGGCTTTGTTCTAGGTAACAGCGGCAAAGACCAGCAAAACCAGTGTGCATATGGGAATGTACCCGAGTCATTACCAAAACGAGGTAATACGTATCGCGAGTCGCCGCCGTCGCACCCGAGTAAGCATCGTGATCCGCCCAAGATCCGCCGAACCCGGTCCGGAAGTCATGATTTCACAAGTTCAAATATGCATGCGCATCAGCCAACCTTTAGGCGAGGACGTTCTGGTGAGGTTCGTTGCCATATGCAACGAGCTGAGGACGGTATTAGATCAGACCGCAACAACGACAATTTTGCACCACCTGAAAGCAATTTGGGGAGCCGCCATAACTCTGTGTATAACAGCACTCCTTTGAAGCTTAATAACATGGAAAGAGGTGACCGTGGTATGGCGATGTACCTTTGTGACCTGGAAGGCGTTTCGCCTTACAAATTTAGCAAAGAGAGCATCAGAAATACCACAAGCTCAAGTGAGAGCAGCTTGGCAGCGATAGACGTAGCGGGCATGGATGTGGAAGAGCCTGAAGTTGAGGAGCACGACATTGAATCCCGTGGTACTTTCGACAGTTTTAGTGACCTTCTTGAAATCCATGATGACCTGGATGACGTCTACGAGACATTGGACACAAAGGATATGGCGGCTGTGAAACGATCTTCTCAGGTTAATAGCAGGCTATGGAAACAGATTGCCGAACTTCGCGATGCTGCTGAAAACGTTTACCAGTACACGAAAGAGAGTACTGCAATGCACGTGACTCAGGGTGGTTCGATACGATCTCCAGAGTGCGCTCTGGGGGGTAGAGCACACCCATAAAGCCTATCCATGAGCGACAACGGTACCTCCGTTTCGTGTTTTTATAAAACACTCCTGGTGTGGAGATGGAGTTGGGTATTGATTTGGATGATCTGATGGAAAGAGCCGAGGAATCGAGCAGCTGAAGAGTGGGGTTAGAAGGGATTAATTGAATGTTTTAGACAGTTTGTTTTGGCGCTGCTTCTCAATCTGAAGGCGATGACGCTGAAAAAGAACGGATATAGAGATAGTACCTGAAATCGTTCGTAGTAATGCAGCATACACTGCCGTGTTACCGAGTTGTACGTTCGTGACAACACATACAACTTCCAAGCAGCGTTGGCAACTTCTCTAAGCTTGAGAGCCTATAGTTTGAAAACAACAAGCTGGCGGGCGAAGGCATCCACTTATCGGACGACCTGGCACGACTAAGTTTACACCGCAACCCATGGCTCATCGTGAATTTCTTGGTGTGCGCTGTGGTGGTACCTGTGTCGAGCGCTGTACCGTTCGGATATGTAGAAAATTACACGCGAGCTTGAGTGCAGTCTATCAGCTTAAAAGCTGCATCGAGACGATAGTGTCCTCGAGTGGCTACCAGGAAGCTACGAATGCGATTAAGCTGGAATTTTTTTGCCAATCGCTACATCACCTGACTCTTCAAGAACTTGCATAATCTTGAAAATCTGCTGTGGAGGTGCAACGAGCTTGATGAGCTGCAGAATCAATCCAGTCATTGTGACAGGTGTATCTACAGAACAGTTACCTGATCAAGTTACTCGGTCGTTGCATGAAGCCATTCTGTCAGGCTATGTACTGACTTGGCACGGAAAAGACAGTGAGCCGCATGATACAACGCCAGTGTTTCTCTTCGAATATGTCACTCCGTGCTGTAATCTTCGTCTTGTGAGACCTAGTAGGTTTTACGTAAAGAAGGCATAGGTATCTAGGTTCGTCTTGATTGGCGATGGTAACGGCAAAGACAACGGTGGAGGCAGCGTTCGTAAGCCTGGAGACGTAACACCCAAACCCCTTGACAGACTTCCTAGCTGATACATGTGGTTGTACGCACGCTTTCCTGTTGGTGTGCGTTGCTGTTTCGCTGAACGAATTGGTGTGCGCAGCAACGTTCGTGTATCTGTGTGTATCGGAGGCAATACTGTTGGTGCAAGTGCCGTGATCAAAGAGCATTGGCCTGATGCTCAGTTCGCTGATAACCGATTCAAGTTGTTATGCAAGACGCGTTTGCGACTGTTTGCTGTCATTTCCTTCTGCTGTCCAACCTGTACACGAAAAGCGATGTTAAAACAGGAGGCAAACTAAAATTGAGCTGCAAGACATTTCGATCGTACCAAATAGTTGAAAGCGAGAATCTGCTCCTTAAGCTGAAGTTGCAAACTGTACGCGCGAAAAAACCTTGTGTTCTGTTCTTCAAGCTTTTGCCACACGACATCAGCAAACGCCGGATCCACATTGGCCTGTTCCTTCAATATTATCAAGATGTCGTTCTGTAGCAACACGACCAGACATTGTAAGCACTGGTAAGAAAATCTTTCTCATGCAAAAACACTAGAGTGTACCCCCACCTTGCTCAAATACTGCCGAAGACATCTCTCAATCAAATGCTGAACACAAAGAATATCATTCCACGAAAATGTTGGAGGAAACACTGGCGTCGGTTGTGGCCGTTTAGCACCGACTGATACCATACCAGTGTTGATTGTGATTGCCGGCTTGGGTCTGCGATGTACTGACGCGATTCCAGCTCGTTTTGACGGCAAAGTCGTGTCCAAAGCAGCAGCCAATGTCATGCCTTGTTGAGGATCTTTCACTGTCTCGAATTTCTTCGATCGTAGCGCTGCATGCAACGAAAAGTAAAGTCTTTTCTTCACTAAACTCTGCACGACGTCCGTCTTCTGTCTTATTGAGCACTCGTGGTATTTCGTGCTTGCGGTTGCTAGTACGCCATTCTTCACCAAGCGGTTGTAGTACGCCATTCTTCACCAAGCGGTTGCTGGTACGCCATTCTTCACCAAGCGGTTGCTGTAAATCTACTCTTGGCAACGATACATAATTGAATCCCGATACGTTGTCGTTACTGGTCGGGTGTAAACTTGAAACAGCTGCAAAATCGGCGTTGTTCGTGGTATCGGTGGATTCTGTTGATGTATCCATGAGACTATCAAAAGTCTCCGTTGACTGCTTTCGTTGTTCAAATCTTCTTGTACCACCTGATGATCATCTTCTCTCGACTCCTTGTTACCTGATCATGCTCTGTCAACTTTAGCTTGCGCTCCTGTGCCGTGGGGGTATCACGAGCGTACAGCGATTCCATCCAGTTCTTTGGACACTTGAATGCCGTTGACAACTGCCTCTTCAGACGATAAGAGACCAAGGGTCGCAGCAAAACGCCCCTTTCTAGAACCCTTTCTATAATGTAAAAGGCTCCTAGACTCATTCATACTCCATTTGTTTGATATGGAAAAGCTTTACTGCCACAGTCGTACATATTTTATCGCACGTAAGAGCAGTCACAGGATACAATTTTACATCTACATATCATGACAACCAGTGCAAACAGCAGAGATGAAATGTACAGACCTCAAGCGTGATTCTTAAGGATTTGGAAGGGGTGGTACTCACGGCTTTATGTTTTTGTGACGTGTTCAATGCAGCCTTCATGCATTGTATAGCAAACGCGGCGGCTAACGATAGGGAAACTTTGTTGACAAATGCATTGATCGTGTTGTTGTCAATGGTCACTTGAATTTAAAACTTGAATATCTGAGTGCTCCTTTCAAACGTCCAAGATCCTTTTGCTAGTGTTTCTAGATGCTCCCAATTTATTGCATTTGACTAGAGAAACATACGTCGATTGCTCAGACGTTGAAATGCCTCTATAGAGAGAACGAGTCCATCACCTCTTTCGATCAATATATTGTCATTCGACCAACTAAAGAAGAAGTTTCTAGCTAAGTTTTTGTTCATCTGTTCAACCTCGTTACCCGACTAATTAAGTTGTACGAGATTTGTCAATGCTGAATACGTCAAAGCTTTTGTACTTGTATTGAAAGCTTAGATTTCTACTGGAACTAGTTGAACAGAGATATAAGCAAATTACAAGCTTTCACGTCACTCGTCCTTCTAACAAACCCTCGACGCCAGAGACCGTCGAGTGACATTAGTGACGACCCAGACGAGGCTCACTACACTGCTTCAGCACGTAAATTGGGTGTCTATTCTAAAGCGAACCTACCTACCAGTGATATCTCCAGCATAAAGTCGGCACCGTTAATGCGACGGATGGCTGTAATGGATGAACCTTCTTCCGCTTGAAAATTCGCCTGGATTTCCACCGAAGCTGCTCCATTGTCCGTTCGAGCCGTTGCCCCACCGAAGAGGTGCTCCTCGCAATCCTCTTCCACCGTAACTTCCAACGGCTCCTTTCTCGTCATCAAGTGCGTTTCTGTTCTGGATTCAGATCGTATGAGCAATGGGCGCTTCTCGCGTTTCTTTACCGTATTGGTGCTTGCTACACATCGCTGGGCTGATTAGTCCCATGTTGCTGCCCGCACCGACTGGCCGACTTCCGCTGCTACGAGCTCGTCCAGCAATTTTGCTGTAACCCGCGTAGGCCACGCAGTCTTGATATGATAAGCCTATTGGGCTTTCCGAATCTGTTGAACTGGTATGTTGTCCAGAAGGTGTAGCCGTACCCGTTGGTGGTCGGAGGGTAGGTGGGCGGCTCTACTACTGACACACACTGCCACTGCTGACGTTCAGGCTTGTGGCACGTAGAATCTGTCGATGCGACTGGTCGCATCAAGTGCACTGTACGTAAATGTTCTGTCGTATGTGAATCCGTCGTCATCCTCAACTGGCTCCATGAGACGGCACGCGTCCTGAAGAAAAATGCCTCAGCACTGCTTGCATACATATCTTGCACCAACCACTGGCCGTTCAGGCAATAATGTCTTCGGCGCCCGTCCCCTGGTCGGCGTCAATAATTCGGCTAGGTGCGCAAGCCGCAGATGTAGCGACGCCCGTGCGAATCCAAAATCGTGATCAAATCGTTCCATCGGAGTGTCCCAGCTTGATGCCTTTAACTGCCCTTTGTAACGACGTAGTTGCGCCTCTCCGCCGTGCTCTAAAGCGTCGGCGAAGAAGCGCGCTACCACCAGCCAATTTACATTGGAAGGCATTACCGCGTAAACCGCTTCATATGCGGGGATAGCCGTAGCACACAGTAGTGCCGCTGAAAGCGGGCATACGCACTGCTGTCATCACTATATTCCTAGTTGGAAGGATAATAGACAGCGCAAATATTCCGATAAGGTAAGCGCTTGAATTTACGTCGCGTGGATATGTGCACATAAGCGATGCTGAGTGGGTAGCTGGTTGGAAACACCACATTGTTAGAATACGGGATCATTCTTGTAGCCGCAAGTGCGCACCGACGCTACTCGTCCTATCATCAGTGGGCGACAAGGTATCACGCGGTGTCATGCGGGATCATTTGGCAATCAACCGTCCAGTCACGTGCGCGTCGACTTGTTACAAACCTGCTACTTTGTGATAAAGCTGTAATCAGGATGTTTTGAGTTGCACATTTGGAAGTAGGCAAACATGTGATTGCATGATAAGCAGCTGTAATCAAAGTAAAAAGTCCATTTCATCAACAATGGATAGAAAATCGTATGGCTTAGATCAGAAAACGTGCCATGATGTGCTCGAGCTTCTTGCCCATCACTTGAACGGCAAAAACCGTACACCATGATGTTTTTATATTTTTAATAACACGAGGTTCAACAGTAGAACCTGCTTTATACGCTACCTTTACTGATTTATCTTTTCTTAACTGCTAAACAGCTATGCTACTACCAGTGCTAGAGAGCTAGCCCATGTGGATAGACTTCTCTAACTGGTGATTGATTCAAGACCCATAACGATAAAGTTAGACAGGTGCTACTATACTTTAATGTGTGCGTGTTCTACTGATGCTGGTCTGAACTCCTTAAGAGGTGCACGGCTCTTTCCTGTACTTCTCCAGGGATTTTGTTTACGGCTGCGGTCTTCGAGCCCCCCCAGCTAAGCGCTCACACAGCTGGATCATCTTTACAAACAATTCCTGTGGAAGACGTCCAACAGGATCGAGCCCGGGAGACACAAAGTCGCCCCAGGCCTTCTTTATACCACCCGTAAGGCAGGCGGCATTGGCCTTCTTTCGGTACCCCTCGCCATCAAAACCCACCGGGTGAAACACGCGCTACTGGCACTTACTCGGCCGAAGGATGTTTACTTCTCAGCCTGGGTGTCCTGGATTACGCATGGTGCAAACATCACAGCCATCAGTCCGCATCGACCGAGCGTAAATTACCGTCTTCCGAGCGGTATCCTGATGACTCCATGAGCTTGGATGCACGCTGACGCCAACACCCGCGCAAACGGAGGACATCCGTGCACGGGTACAGGACCATCTACCGACCCTTCGGTCATCATCGACCAGCTGGTGGGAAGAAAAAGACTGGGTGCTGCATCTCTCTGTACCCGTTCCCTGTAGGTCTCAGCCAGTCGAGTTTTGGCCCCAGGAGATCGCAGACTTCTGGCAGACTTTCCGTTGGAGTGGAAAACCCTTGGATTTTCACACCACAAGCATCGACGCTGTCCGGGTCCAAGTATGACAGAATTTGCGATGTCTCCTTTGAACAACTCCATATCCAGCGGACAGGACCCCAGGAATACGTCTTTGGCGGCAGTTGCACGGACCTCCTCGCCCCCCGACAGTGTCTCAAAGCATTGCAAGCCAAATGAAAAGGACAAGTGTAAGAAAAAATTTCCAAATTGCTCTCGTTAAGACTGCGATCCACACTCGGGACTCTGCGATCATTACCCAGTACCTATCAATGAATTTAATATACGCTTGGAACCCTGCGATCATCATTGTTTGGCGTCTAAAACTAAAATCTTGGGGATTGGACACCGCTGCATTTAATTTCCGGTAAGATTTTTGGTGTGAAACGACTAGACGCTATGTAATCGAAAAGGGTGTATTTAAAGTATAGTGACTATGCATATTTGCAATAATAATATAAGGCTATAGAGCCAGTAAATAGTAACTAGCACTAAGTATAAAGTAGGTCCTTCTATATGTAGTGTTAGAAGATAAACATAAATATAAATCAGTTTCAAAACCTGCTCTGTAAGCCTTACAGCTTGAGCGTTCTATTCCTTCCAAGAAATCAGTATCTCTGATACTAGTCTCTTTGAGACTCGGTTATAAATACCGATAGGCACAAGCTTACGAGCTAGCCTAGGAGGGTTAAACACCCTAAGACGTAGAAGCTCTTTGAGCTTGTCTTCCTCTGCACATAGTGCATATGTAGCTTTGCTACAGTAGCTCGGCTACATTTGGTAGCACTCGTAGTCAATCCCGCACCTAGGTTTACGACTACTTCTATGTGTAAGAATGAACATCGATGAGATGTCAGCGATTTGCCTGTCACAGGCACAACAGGAAGGGTTGCAGAAGCTGCTCCCTATCCTTGGCCCTAAAGTGCGTGGAGCACCTCATCGCCCAGGGCGAAGAAGAGGTTAACAAGCGTATTCGTACGCTTGATGAATATAATAAAGCTCGAGTCGAGCATGTAAAGGCACAGATGCCTTCTTCTGTGCCTTCGCCCATGGTGACTATGGCGCAAGAAGTGGTTCGCAGACCAAAACCCATACAAATGGAAGTCGATAAGTTCGACGGCAAAGAAGGTGACAACCTTATGCTTTGGTTCCGAACAGGTTGAGTCGGGTATGTTTATAGCCAAAATCACCTATGAGCCGTACCGTGTGGGCTTTGCCACGGGCAAGTTAGGTGGTTTAGCCAAACAGAGGGCTTCACTTGAAGTGCATCATTGCAAGATGCATTCCCAACGAGCCAAACTGAAAGTTCAGATGACCCGGCAGTATGCACCGCCAAACCAAGCACACCGGAATCGGTCGCGGCGTGTCGCCAAGGCAAGCGTGAGCTTGCGGCATAACCAAATGGCATACCAGTGGTGCTTGCACCAGGTGAAACATCTGCACAAGATGATCACCAGTTCACCCGTTAAGTAGAATGAGCATGTAAGCTCTCAAGTTTGTCAAGCATGCGCTTAAGCGCTAAAGCGCAAGACGTTTGGTTAGAACGTTGTGTACGTTTTAACTTCGCTAAGCCCAATGCGAAACGTCAATTACCTTCCACATACAGGTTAAAGACTTGTGGGGAGCAAGCTTCTGAAGCTGTTGCTCGTACCTCTCACTCGAGTGATGTACCGTCATTGGCTTCTTCTGAAGGTCACAGGCGAAGCCAGCCTTCTGACCCTACTTCCACAGCACCTAGTGCTAGGAAGCGCCCAACGACAGCTGTCGTCGCTTCTGACCGTCTGGTCAAAAGCGTCAACGGCGTCAGGCCAATCCTGCAGGAGGGATATCTCATACTCTTACGAGTCATACCGCTGGGGGCTCCCCCTCCACTTCATCAATTATTGGGTATGACCCAGATGACGACGCCGAGCCAAGAGGCGTTCCACGTGGAACTGTTGATGAACCTGGTCATCAATCAACGTCGGAGGAGGTCGATGACCCATTGACCTCTCACCTCTCTAAGATTGAGCGTCGTCTGACGCTCCTGGAGCGTGATGCCCTTGCATCGGTGAGGTCTCACCTGTCATCGCTCGATGACCGTGTCGATCGACTTCATCGGTCTCTTAAGCGTTATCGCTCTAAGACCTCGGATCGCTTTACGGCAATTGAGCGCTTTCAAGCCGAACTGCGATGTCAGATCGACCTCCTGTTACGCCTCCAGCGTCCATATGCACCTCCGGTGCAGTACTTCCCGCCTCCTTCGGCCGGGGTATTCGTGGACAACCCCTCGTAGTCCACCGAGGCCGGGTTGAGGTATGGCTTAAGTAAGCCTACGTAGAACACAGGATGTGTTCTCATTTTCTTTGGAAGGGTTCAGCGTATAGGTAAACCTTTTCTGCCTATGACCTTGCAAAGTTTAATGAAACGTGGTCGTAATTTAGTTTTATGTCCCGCTGAGACGGCACGGGTAGGTATATTCCTAGCGTTTAACAAAACTAAATCACCCACTTTGAACTCTTGTTCGTTTTTCTGCCTTTGGCATCCGCGTGTTCCTTCTGAACATCCTGGCTTTCAGCCATAGCGTCTTTGACGCGACGTAATACGTCACACGCGTTGAAAGAAACGCTTCCACCTTCTTGTGCATAGCAACGGGGCTGATATCAGCCAGGCCTTCGGCTATCTTTCCCTCGCTAAGCCCTGAAGTGGCAGGGGGTAGCGTGAAAGAAACGCGAGGCTGGACCAAACCAATCACATAGATAGGGTGAAGCCTGTCGAGGCATGCACCGCATTGTTCAACGCAAACTCTACCAGAGGGAGCATCGTGCTCCATTGCTTGGGTGTTTCAGCACAAACACCCCAAATCATATCACCAATAACGCGATCCACGCGTTCTGTCTGACCATCGGTCTGTGGATGATCCGCCGTGGACATGTTCAGTCGAGTGCCGAGCACTTTAAAGACGGACATCCAAAACTTACCCGTAAAACGGGGGTCTCTATCCGAGACGATTGCAACTGGCAATCCGAGTTGTCTATACACACGATCCATGAACAGCTTTGATGTTCCTTCTCCATCAATGGAGTCCGACACTACTGCTAAGTAAGCCATCTTGCTCAGCCGGTCATCAAAGACCACAATCCCAGTGTTGCCTGCTGCATTACGCGGTAGGCCAAGCACAAAGTCTATACTACTGGACTGCCACAACCCCGAGGGTACAGGCAAACTCGCCAAAGACGCAGCCATATTAGGCGAGGGGTTCACCCTTTGACACGTTTCACACGTGCGTACGTAGGCACCAACCCATTTGTACAACTTAAGCCACCAATAATGGGTGCTCAACGAGCTGTAGGTCTTCTTACGTTGTAAATGACCACCAAGTGGTGTATCATGAGCCTCATAACGCATCTGATACTTGAGGTCCTCATCATAAGGCACCACAACACGAGGCTGGTCATCCGACCCTGTACTATAGTACAACAGACCATCGGTCAGTGCATAACGATGTAATCTTGCACGATTACGTGGTGAAAAATTCACCTTAGAGCTCTCAAACTCTGCGCTACCCCAGTGCCTGCATAATGGCAACACATGCCTCATCGCGTGCATACGCCACACGGATACGATCCGTTACTGACAAACTCACAACATTGAGATGATCAAGCTCATAGTCAGTTCTACGCGATCACGCGTCAGCCAAAAATTACTGTTTTCCAGCTTATACTTCACCTCGAAGTTATACTCCGCAAAAAAGGAGAGTCAACAAGCCGTTTTCTGCAAGAGATGAGGCGACTGTGACGCTGTGCGTAACGACGCATGATCGGTATAGATCACAAACGGCTTGAGACCAATAGGTGTACACTGAACTTATCAAGGGCATACTTCATCGCAAGTAGCCCCTGGTCATTAATTGGATAGTTCTTCTCTGCAGCTTTCAGCTGGCAAGGCTCAAACGCGATGACGCGTTCTCGACTCTCAGAGTCAACTTGCAAAAGTGCCCTGCCAATGGCAAATTCTGAAGTGTCACATACGACGCTAAATGGGCGATCAGGATCAGGTAGAGCCAGAATTGGCGCCTGAAGGAGACTTTCCTTAATGGCCTCAAAAGCCTCGTGGTGTGCCATGTTCCAACACCATTCCACATCCTTTTTAAGAAGATTTTATAATGGCCTAGCCACTTCCGCATAGTTGTAGCTATACCTGTGCAAAAAATTTGCCAGACCCAACCACTTGCGGAGGTCCATCTGGCTCCTCAAAAATGGCCAATTCACTATGGATTTGACCTTAACAGGGTCTGCCCGGATTCCTCGCTTCCCAATGAAGCATCTCAAAAAAAGAATCTCTTCCGCACCGAAGATGCATTTGTCAAAATTGGTATATAACTTATTTGTATCCTCATGCAACCGAGCACAGCTCGCAGGTGCTCGATGTGATTCTCCACATCAGTCTTGTCATTTTAGGCTCGACTATGAACGCATATATCGTCAAAGTAAGTATGTCGGTGCATACGCCCTATGGGGCCGGAGCAACTGCGTCACCAGACAATTGAACGTTGCAGGGGCGTTAGACAGCCCTTGGGGCACTACTAACAAATTAAAGAAAATACCGCTCGGAGTACTGACGGCTGTCAGCGGGATATCACTAGCTCGCATGAGCAGATAACAATATCCATCGACTAAGTCGAGGGCACTGTACATCGTACATCCCACCATATTGTTCTGAAGAACATCTTTGCGAGAAATAGGTGTTTGAGTCGCGATAGTGGCTGCATTCAGCTTATTGTAAGCATGCACTTTTTGCCACTTCCCATTAGTATTTCTCACACAAAATGTGGGCGTAGAGTGAGGAGACTTACTCTCACGCACCATGCCAGCCGCGTGCTTTGCACGAAAGAACTCGTCAATGACGCCACATTGTTCTCGTGGCAGCGGCCACTGTCGCGTCACACAATATTTGGTTCCTGGAACGAAGTCAATTTCATGACGCACACCTCTATCCCGAGGTAACCTCGTAGGAGGTTCTCTGTAGACAACACCTCCATATTCCTTCAACAAAGGAAAATAAGGATCCGAAGGGTCCTTCAAGATCTGTGATCCACTACGCGCATCCAGCGCCTTCTTGTTATCCTCAACAACTGCTTTATCCAAGAGCGATGAGGAGTTCAACTCCTCCTCAGGTCGTATAATGACCACTTCGGCGATGTCACCTGCCTGTAAGGCAATGCCAAACTCGGCAAAGGACAGCTCGTCCAACTCTAACAGAGCACTTACTGCGGGTAAAGTTAAAAGAGCCACCGGCTCTTCAACATCCCAATCAAACCATTGACGAGTGTATATAGCTGTTTGCTATCGCCGTCACTCACGATATTATCATCGCTACTCATGACGCTCTCAGCATCCGACGCATCAGCGTCCACAGGTGTACACACCACAAGGTCAAAGACCACTTTGTTTACTGACTGCATCCCACCCTCTTGGGTCAATGCCTCGTCATGAGGTGTTCGCACCTCGTTGTCCTCAAAGACAACATCCATTTGTGACTTCACCTGACCCTCCAGGGCCAGTACCTCGTCGTTAGGTGCATGCACCTCGTTGTACTCAAAGACAACATCCATTTGTGACTTCACCTGACCCTCCAGGGCCAGTACCTCGTCGTTAGGTGCATGCACCTCGTTGTACTCAAAGACAATATTCATTTGTGACTTCACCCGGCCCTCTAGGGTCAGTTCCTCGTCACCCATGTCACTTGAACTTATGTCCTGACATCTTGGCTTGCAGCCATCAACACCACTCACGGTGTTTAATGTGAACATCATTCTCATGACACACACATGTCATATGTGCCATCTAGTGGCTTCTCAACCACACTATCGACAGTCATTGGGCCTCGCACAGGACTATTGTCCTCGACACTTACAGTGTCTACAAAGTCGGATATTCCGACATCCAAACTATTCACCGAATCGGTCCAATATCCGCGCCAAAAGCGCTTTTGCTTCCTAGCAGAGGTAGGTTCATGACTCTCCAGAGCCCCACCAGGAGCATTGCGCGTTGCGCCTAAGGTCTTCAATCTCCAATCAATCGATGGCTCATGACGCTCTAGCCATGCCATGCCTAGGATGAGGTCATACCTCGCATCCAGGTCTAAGTCCAAACAGCGTTCCATGCTGTTAAAGTCTAAGAACTTTACATTTAAGTCCATCGGTACTTTGGGTACCGTAACACGCGTAATCCGTCGCTAAGCAAACTGTGACTGTGTCACTTTCACGCGCTACAAGCGCTTCAGCATACTGCTGACTACCTTCCACGGTGGCACGGCGCACATAATTGCCCAATGCTCCCGAATCAATCAAAATGATTCATGGCTTATCATAGCCCTTAACCGTCCCTTCGACGACTGGAGCCTGGCTTGCATTCTTGTTCCGTTTTTGAGAGTTCGGATCTCTTTGGAGCTAGGCTTTTACCCCCTAGAGGTTCAACAAAACTCAGTTCTTCCCCAGTAGGTCGCCTCACGCCTACTGGGTTCCGCCGTTTCCTCGCGGCAAACCAGAGGGTTTACCCATGGGGCGTCGGCCCTTCGAGGCCAAATATGCCTTTCTTGCAGGGCATTTTGCCATCAAATGGCCTGTGCTCTTGCAGATATAAAATATGCGCACAATGCGCTGCTCCGCAAAGCATGAAGCTCAGCTTCTTCATCCTCCACTTGACTACAGTCCATGGGCACAGACCCATCAGACGAGTAGTTATAAGTGGCAGGCCTAGCGGTCTTAGAGTTAGTCTTGGCATTCCACGCCACTTCAACATCTTCCTCGAATGAGGACGGGTTTACCAGGAAGACTTTCATTCTGGCAACGCCAGCTCGGAGGCCCTCCATGAAGACCGTGACGGTCGCTGCCTCAGGCAGAGGGTCTATGACCATGTCAGCATTGAGAGTTCTCAGCTCTTGCACAGGGTGCACGGGCACCTCATGTGACTGTCGTGACAGTCACTCCTGATACAATGTCATCGTAAACTTCTGGGAAGTAAGGAGCCGCTTACGAAGACAACACTACCTGCATTCTCGCAGGCCGTACAGGCATGGGACCCAATGACATAGGTTAGCAAAGATTGCGATATAGCTCGTCGGGCTTCCTCTTTGGGTACCAAGGCACGAAATCATAATCACGTCGTAAAAACGTTTGTTCGGGCCGTGCCAAAGCGGCCGTTCGGGCCTCTTCATCAAGTTGACGACGCTGTGCAGCGTCAAGAGGATTGGTTACCTCTTCGTCCCTACCCTCTCGCGAGGGAAGAGGAGGCGCTTGGCGCAAAGGGGTTGTCTTCCTTGTAGGGGAAGACACAGATTGGGATCAACGTCCCTTGCTCGGTGAGCGTGATGATCTTGGGTGACTTTGACCCGAAGGTGACTCGGCTCCGCCGCCCGTAGAGGCAACGTCACTGTCATCGTCCCCAAAACTGTCGTGACGCCTTGCTTCATCCATGATGAAGCTAGCGCTATTAAGACAAGTGCTTTATAAATCAAGTGTTCGTGAACACTGTGATGCTTAAAGCAAGTGTTGTGAACACTGTAATGCTTAAAGCAAGTGTTGCAAACACTGTATTGCTTAAAAGCAAGTGTAGACACCTTGTCTTGAAAGCAAGTGTTTGTGAACACTGTGATGCTTAAAACAAGTGTTGCGAACACTGTAACGCATATAAGCAAGTGTTGCAAACACTGTATTGCTTAAAAGCAAATGCTAGGCACCTTGTGCCGTGAAAGCAAGTGTTTGTGAACACACAAAAGGTATCAATAATACCGAGTGCTTGGCACTTAACGCTTATAAGCAAGTGTCGTGACACTTAATGCTTTAGCTGTAAAGCCTTATATTTTCGTTTTCTGTTGCTTACATTCCTTCTAGTGAAACTATTACTAACCCTAGGAAGAGTAAAGATAACGTGCCTTTTTTAATTTTGTCATTTCGAGTATACCTTCGTGCATGGTCTTGTGTTTGCTTGTCCAAAAGGTTCTGCTGCTCATTCGAAGCAGTATTCAAGCAAATGCTTACACGAAGCGATGAATTGGACAAGATGCATATTTATACGAAAGACACGTATACTGTTAAATGGCCTGTATAACTACTTTTGGTACCGGTCATTAAAATGGCTACAGTGAAATTGTCAAGACGTATCGAAATGATTAGTTTAAAGTGAGATGTATAGTTAGTATACGGTCGGTAAATCTCTAATTTAAACACTAAAGAAGTATGAGCTCATTGCGCCCCGAGACGCTAAAAGTGGTGGCGCAAAGTCTCGGCCTGGACGACATCAATGACGAATGCATTTATGAGATGCTACCAGAAGTGGAGCTACGGGTGCGAGAGATATTGCAGGATGCCCTCAAGTTTCAGCGGCATTCACGACGGCCTCAATTGGATCCCACGCATGTTAATCAGGCCCTCCAAGCTCGGAATTTAGAGGTGATTTTGATTGGATAAAATACGTGTATAACTAGGAAAAGCGTTATTGACTCGGTCTAATTGCTCAATTTTAGAGTTTGTATGGGTTTTCAGCCCCTGGTAACGTTAAATACAAGTTATGTGAAGACAGCGACTCACTGTTTTTCGTGGAGGAGGAAGAACTGGAACTTTCTGAACTACTGAACGCTCCATTGGGTCAAATTCCTCTTCAACCGGTGCTTAATGTGCACTGGCTGGCTGTAGATGGCGTGCAGCCACTCATTCCTGAAAATGAGTCTGTAGAGGACGATTCAACGTGTCATACATCTATCAAGGACGACGCTTTTGTTAACAATGTAGAGAGAAAGCCTCGAGTGAAGCACGTGTTGACTGAGGAAATGCAGCTCTATTACACCAAGGTGACAGAAGCTGTCAAGAGTCATGACTTTGAGCTCCAACGCGCAGCCTTTACAAGCCTTGCTCAAGATCCTGGAATCCATCAGCTGCTGCCATACTTTTCACGCTTCATTTACGAGGAGGTGAAGCACAGCAACCACGATCTTTCGCTGCTATTTTCGCTCATGCGAGCTTGTCGATGTCTACTTGTAAACCAAACGCTGCATGTGGAACTCTATGTACGTGGTTGTTTTTGTTTAATATTTTCAGATGCGTTGGAGTAGTCGTTTAATGTATTCTTGCTTGGTTTATGTATACGGATTAGCTGCACCAATTGATTCCTGCTATTCTGACTTGTGTGCTGGGCACACAACTCTGTGAGAATCCTGCGGATGACCACTGGGCTTTGCGTAAGTACGCAGCTAAACTGGTGGCCCATATCTGCGAGCGCTATGGCGAGAAATATGCCAATATCCAGGCACGTGTTTCTAAAACGTATCACAAGGCAATTACCGACCCGGTGTGCCCGTTTTCGACTCAATATGGTGCTCTTCATGGTGAGTGTCAGTATATTGCAGTTGCTACGAGTTCACAGTCTTATGTCGTTGACCAATTTTGTAGGAATGCTGTTTTTGGGCCCGCTGGTGATGGAGAGTTTGCTTTTTCCAAACTTGGAGGGGTATTATCGACGATTAGAGCCAGCTGTATCATCATGTAATCCTAATCTTGTTGAACGACTTGAGGCTCAGAACTGTCTTGGCATTCTCGTGGTAAGCATTGTGTCGTGTCATTGGTGTACCGTCTGATTCTTAGACTTCTTGATTCTTGATGAACTGTTATTCCGTGTAGCATGCTTCTGGGACCTATTTTTCTATGTCCGACTCGATGAATCGCGGTCCGTCGCCGTCGATGACGTCGTCTGCACTAAGCGATATCGTGGCACTTTTGTACGACGCGTTCGGTGAGAGTCTCTTGCCCTACATTCAACCAGGTCACCCAGAAAGTATGTTTGATATGTGTCTGTAGAAGATGCTGGTGGATAAGGAAATGGATGCCAGTATTGACAAACCCTTGATAATGAAAGAATGTATGATGTGATATTGGTATAGAATTGTTTCAATCGTGCGGTAGCTATTGTGAAGGCTTGCTACTGGAAAATACCTTATGTGAGCGCGCTACATCTGCGTACAATGTAGCACATTAAGGTTCGTTGTCGTAGGAGCAAGAGCAGGAAGATTTGTCGTCATCACCATATTCAAGAAACTAAATCACTCTATTGTCCTGCTGTACGTGGACAACCTGACGGAGCTTTCAAGATCATGGCGTCTTCATTGGGTCAGCGATCGAAGATATAAGCCAGAAAGCTTCATGGCCCGTCATCACAGATTCCAGTTTAGAAACACAAGCAGAAGATGATGAAGTTTGCATTGAAGTAATCTAGGGTGTGTTGTAAGATGCAAAGACGACGGAGTTTTTAGCAATACCACCGTTAAGCCAATCTCGGCCAGCAGTCTTTGTCTGATGCTAGATAGTCAACATGACATCCACGCACCATCACGCAATATCTCCGCTCGCAGACACGGATCAAAAAATGTGCGTGTCTCGTTCGCGTTGAACAGCTCACTCAAGTACTCGAGCTCGTCGTTCAAAGCACTTCAGAAGAAACTTTGCCATTCTTTCGCGATCGAAAACAAGATCATGGTGTCTACAAATTACGCAATCGTCATCACAGGTACACGGATGATGACGCAGTAGCAGGCAGTCAGCGTCAACCACAGCGACACGTACGCATCGACTTGTATCGCCTAATGTGACAAATCGTGTTCCATAGCAATTACAGCACTCCATCAAGCAAAACTTAAATCGTAGCCATTCCATATGACGTTGACCGCGAAACGGACAAGACCAACAACACTTTCATTGTACGAATTGACAATGACGGGATGACGTTGAGCCAGTCTACTGCACGTACAACTAGTACCAACTATCTTATAGCTTCAGAAACTATAAACTGCGTCGCAATTAGTCCGGCACTAAAACACGTCCCCTCGCGGTCTCATTTCATGTCCACTTGTAGCACTCGGAGAACAGTAAAGGGCAGAAATTGGGCACAAGTATCCTCATCTGAATGAACGCGTGTCACCTCAGATAGCCCCTTCGTAACTTCATCAGTACACTATTATCGTCCACACGTCAGCAATTTGTATCTCAGGGACTTTAAGATGCTATCAAATGCATACAAGCGCCACATCCAGTCCACAAGAGGCTGCAGCATCTACATAGAGACTCCAAGCTTTCCCTTGGTTGTGTCCTACTAAACAATCAATTCAGCTACAATGCAAAAAAGACATTAAGACATGACAAATGCATTGATAAGCCTCTTGTCGTAGCAGTAGCAACAAATAGTAAGAATAGACAATCAATGGTAGACGATACCAGTTCAATTTACGTGGCTGTAGGAAGAATAAAGTCAGTGTATCAGTTAAGTTTAAAGCCGGAAAAGAGGCAAGTCTTTCGTAACATATAGTGTCTCCATCATGTCTTGTCCTGTAACAAAAACGGAAGAAAGAAAGAGTGATGGTCTTTTTCTTGTCAAACTGCAACCTTTTGAGACGTTTTCCTATTACTGAGAGATTGTGGTTGCATAACAACGATGTTGATTGGTTGAAAAGCATTTGATATGTCATGTAGAGCTTATGTACCAATTGAATGGTACCTGTCGTGCATCGTCGAAAGGCGGAAACGTTCATAGAAAATGACCGGAAGAAACAAGGCAATTTGCATTGTAGCCGCGCGGCACAAGAGCAACAAGTTTACTCACTTAAGCCCTACATTTGCTGTCATTCATAGACAATCGATCGTATGAATCAGATTATAACGATACCACCAGTAGCAAACACAACACTCGTACCTGTTCCAGCTGCTGCAACGGAAGATACAACTGCAGTACACGCGGCTGCTAATAATGCCACGGGCTGGAGCGACTCGGCAGACAATAATTCACACGATGATGAGTTTATACCACCAGCACAAGGTCCATCACTTTCATATGAACGTAAAATTCGTCTTCATAAATACGCAGAGAATCGTGCACGATCGTGTCTTGGTCTACTTGCAGACTCAAGTAATGCATTATGGAAAGTATACGAATGCAAGAATGATATTGGTGTATACAAGCCTAGTTCGGATTGGTCCGAGTCAGTATCTGCTAAGGCTGTTGTCTTTGCTAATGCGACATTTCCAAATGTTCTCAAGACAATTTATGACCTCAAGACATCGGATAAGTTTAAGCTCTTTATGCGAAAGGTACTAGGTGATATGTTTTTGGATGCAGAAGTACTGGAAGATTTGAATGGCACGGGTGTTTATCCAAGTGCAAACCCACCCAGAGACGCCCGTGAGATGTACAAACAGGCGGCTATCAAGTGGTGGGCTATTAAGTCAGGCTCCCTGGCTAGTAAATCCTCAGACTTTTACGTGTTGGAGGTAGGGACCGACGTTTTATACGTTACGATTTTGGCATTGGCCATGACATGATGCAAAGTGGTATCTACTTGTAGCATTACTATGTTATTTTTTGACTGCAATGCTAGCCACATGACAAACAAAGGCCTTTTCTTGACTGACGACGTATGTATGCTTTAATTTGTGTGTACATGTGCTCGACGGCTGACAGTATATCGGTATCGAGACTTCGGGAGGGGACATTGTTGCATGTTATATCTTTCAGGAGTCACTGGCAGAGGTGGGCGGTATGCCGCACATCCAAGGTAACAACCTTGAACGCTCTCAGTTCGATGCATTAATCTGCAAGTTTGAACGCACCTTATCACCGGACTACAAGGATGATTTCGTCACGATTTCCATTGCGTTCCAGCGTCCTCCACCCATGGTAAGCCTTTTCCGCAGCAACCCTGCAGTGGAGATGGTCACACAACTTGCTCGCGGTTTACGTGACATCCTTGAGGATCCGCCCGAGCTCCAAGAATTATCTGTCGTAAAGACGTCCGCCTGGGTGAAAGACAAGTACGTTGCACCTATCTTATCTGTAAGTGAGATACGTGTGGTTTCACCCTGGCTTATGAACACATTTTTCAACTTTGTCATGACTCAGAGAACGCCGTTTCTGTGTGCTTTGCAATCGGCGCTTTTCGCCAATCTTCCGTCGGCGCCACCACTGCCGTACATGCGGTGAAGTGATATGCTGGTCATGTAGCAGCACTATCCGCGTACCCTCGATTAGTTTCACGCACAACGACACAGGTAAACAGGTGCTATCTCGCCATCAACCAAGTATACGCGTATGCAGTAAGTGTGTGGTATCCCATCATCGATCAAAGAGTGGCAGGGAGCTAAGCAACCAAGAGGATTTCAAGGACTGGATTCAACGAAACACTGAACAGCAACAACTTGCCACGGTTGGCGAAACAGGCAATGTCCAACAACTTCGTTTACCCAGCCCCTCACACTCGCAGGATCTGGCGGGGGCGCTGGAAGCCCCACGTGATAAACTGGAGCAAATTTCTGTTGCTAAGGAGGAGAGAATGCCGCGTAAGTATCGGCGCATCAGTTTGGACAATGCAGAAGAAGAGAAAGAGGATGACAGCAATCGCCTGCATCTGTGTCGAGAGCTTCCAGGTATCATTGACGATAGGGAGCGACGAGATTCTAATCTACGGACATCACGGAAAATCTCTCGTGGGAAGCAGCGGCAAAGTAATATGAAGTTACCTCAGCGCCACAGCTACGGCGAACAAGCAGCTCGTGGCTCGAAGCATATGCGTCGGGTGCGTCGATCGCACTCTGAAGTCAGTATTGAGCGCGCAACTGGTCACGGGCGGGACGATCAAGCAGCTATGGTTAAGCCAATTGCCACGAAAGCATTAAGCGGAGGGCGTTCCACCAGGGCTGGTCGTCGTGGTCCCTCGCCTGATCCTGTGCGTCGATCAGTTCCATTAAGCCGAAGCAATCGGAAAGAAGAAGAGCGACGAACAAGCTCAATGGAGATACTTCCAGTGCAGAACAGTAGCAGCTACGTTCATGCCGCCTCGGCCTGGACTACAAATAAAACAGAAGTTCTCGCCATGACTGGAGCCTTTCAGGAATTGATGACAAAACTTGGAGGCGACGTCCATTTCGTGGTCGTTGGTTTTTCCACTGGATTTAGCGCTGAAGCGATCGTCAACTTGCTTCGTCAGTTAGCTCCTGGGGTGCCTTACATCGGTGGAACGATCGCGCGTGGTATGTGTGACGAGAACGCTTGGGTTTCTGTAAACAGGCACAATGATGAAGGTCTTGTCACGTTATGGGGTGTGAATGATCCTCATGGAATTTACTCTGTCGTCCACGCGGAGTATTCCCAGAGCGATGCGCAGGAGAAGACATATGTTGCAGCTAAAACTGCACTCGCTCGTGTGGCAGCTGATGTTGATGCTGGTGAAAAGCCGGCATTTATTGCAACGTACGCGTGCCCGCTTTTTGTGGAGCATGCAATTGATGGAATTCGTGAAGCTATTCATTGCCCAATCATTGGTGGCTGTTCCTCAGACGCCACTAGACATGGAGAGGGCGAGGTCTCGGTGTCCTGGATTCAAATTAGCAGTAGCAGCAGTTCTGACTACACAAAGAGTGTTCGTGATGGTCGAGGTGACTGGACTGAGATGGGAATCGCGTTTGCTCTGTGTTTTCCCAGTGTGGAAACTTACGTGAGTTGGTTCAGTGGATACAGCCCAGTGGGGGTTAATAGCGAGTACTGCATGGGTACGGTAACGAAAGCGTTGAACAAAACTATCTACGAAATTGACTGTAAGCCAGCGGCAGAGGTGTATCAAGAGGTGAGATTGCCTGTGCTGATGATCGTATGCAAGAACTGACTCGTTTATTGTAACAGTGGCTTGACGTGGCATCTGACAAAAGCCAAACTGAGCTGTCTTCGATCGGCTTCCCTCGATTGGGCAGCCTACACCCCTTGGGCACTACCATCGATTTTGTTTCCAACCAAATGGAGATCGACCGCAGTATTGACGTCAACTCCTCCTCCTCGTTGTGCTCGATGCAGTCAAGTGATTGGTCCAAACTCATCAACATGACTGCAGTGATCACTGGCATTAACGAGGATGGGTCACTAAGCACGACGAGTTCAGTTGCGTGCGGTACGAACGTTGTGCTAATGGAAACGTCCGCGCAGTCTCTGAAGACCGCCATTAACAAGGTACGTGTTTTGCAGTATTTTGCAATGTGGTTGCTGATTTGACAGTCGTCATGTTTTCGTTCCTCTTATGTAGATGGGTGCGCAAGCCGTGGAAAGCAACAAGTTTTACATCCACGAGACGATCGGTTGTTTAATGTTCCTGTCTGCCGGAGTGCAAGCTCTGTTGGGTCACAAGAGCATGGCTGAGATGGTAGAGTACTTCCAAATGGACATTACCTAAACGTTCTTGTTTGTTTCTAACAACAAAACGACAACTCGTGTTGTGCAATAGGTCGGTGCGTATAAAGACTGGTCAGGTGGAGCGTCTTTGATGGGCATGACAACGTTTGGTGAGATCGGGCATCTACCCAACTCGAATGATTTTCCACACTATGACTCGCTCATGTTTGGAGCCATAATTTTCTCCAAGCGTAAACGTAAAGAGTATCTTTACTTTTGAAAGCATCGAGATGTTGAAGCAAAACGTCCACATCATTTCATCGTGTGTCCACCTTGTGTCTTTTAAAAAATGGCTACCTCACTTTCTTCTTTTTATCCAATCCACATCATTCTCTTCTTCTATTTCTTCCAATAATATTCAAGAAAACGATTACCTTCAAAACTAACCAGCCATATGAGACCATCCATCATTTTCGATATTTCGACCTTCACCAATGGCGCAAGACGGAGTAAGTCCGAGTCACTACCGGCGACGACGTAGTCGCAGCAGGAGCCACAGTCGTGGTCGCAGTACACGCATCTCATCTCGTCGTCATTCACATCGTAAACGCTCTCGCTCCCGCTCCCTGTCGTCGCGCAGTCCGTCGAGTGGCGCGTCCCGTTCAAGATCGCGGTCTCTGGAGCGTCGACGGATGTCCACGTTAAGCGACAAACACCGCAAGAAACGATCAAAGACAGATCGAAGAGAACGTCGTCGCTTTTCATCGCATTCACGTAGTCGTTCTCCATCGAAACGAAGTAGATGCTCTAAAAAGAAGAAGAAGAAGAAAGAGAGAAGCCATAGAAGCTCAAAAAAGAGCAGTAAAAGAAGCAGAAGCAGAAGGAAAAGTGATGAGATTGTTGATACGTCAAGTTACAAGCGAACTGAGGCTAAGGAGGAGCAAAAGAAGGGGAAGAGGGGGGCAATTATCTGATCAGGACAAGACTCGGGCTGTATACGTGAAATCTTCAAGTGATGCTACTGCGTCAGATCTGACCCCCGCTAATAGCCAGGACATTGTCGACGAGAAGTGTAAGAACAACATCTCAATTGCCATGAACAAGAGTGTTGACACGACTCCTGTGATGGTGGAGCCGGATAAGACAAGTATTGGAGGCGTCACGTTGAAGAAATTTAAGTTTAGTGGTATTTCGTTGAAATCCGGCTATCCGGTGGCAAAGAAAACACAAGGTATACCGAAAAAACCTGTGGCTTTCTGTAGCACTTTGGACGGTGGTAATGGCAATTTGAAGACTGGAGACACGGGTGCGAAACGTGAGACGCTGCATGAGGAACAGCTTAAACAGAAGAAGGATGAGAAAGCAAAATTTTTAGAGGAAGAGGATGCTGTGCCAAAGCAGCTGGATTTGTGGACACCGGAAGACGAAGAAAAGGGTGAAACCTTGGAAGAACGGAAAAAACGCGACAAGGAGAAGGCACAACAGCGTGAACGCGTCCAAAAGGTTGTTGAAGAAGCTGACCCATTAGACGCGTATATGGCTGGTCTTGTAGATGAGGCAGCTATGAACCAATCTCGTGCGAACCCTGCTGCTAACGTGATCTCGCAGACTGAGATCGAAGCAAAGGGAAAAATCAATATTTATGGTACATTTTTGCCTCCGGATGTACCAGAGCAGCATAATGTCCCAGTAGCTGTGCCGGGTCCGTTCAAGGAGCTTCAAGTGTCTGATAGCGCGATAGCAGAAACGCTTGAAGAACGTGAAGCCCGTGAAGAGCGTGAACTCAAGGAGTTTATGCGAGCGATTAAAGATAAGCGTGCACAAGAAGAAAAGGAGGCTGCCGAAGCTACCACGGTGACTACTACGACGAAAACAAGCAAAGAAGTTGAAGAAGATTTGGCAATGAAGAAAGGTGGTACGGGGCGGATTTACCAGGGATTTGAAGAAGATATTATTGGTGAAGACTCGGAGCTGGTAGACCAAAGATCGGCTTTGGAGATTTTGCAAGAACAGCAAAAAAAGAAGGAGATCAAGCCAGTTGACCACGCAAAGATCAATTACCTTCCGCTTCAAAAGAAGTTTTATGTGGTTCCGAAGGAAATCAAGGATTTATCAGAGGCGGAAGTGGAGGCGATACGCAAGGAATCAGAGATCAAAATTCGCGGAAAGGCTTGCCCTCGCCCGCTGCAAAAGTGGACCCAATGTGGCTTTAGCGTCCGGATGCTTCAGTTGATAAAGAAACAGGGTTATGAAGAGCCGTTTGCCATTCAAAAGCAGGCGCTGCCTGCCATTATGTCTGGGCGTGATGTAATCGGCATTGCTAAAACAGGTTCGGGTAAGACGTTAGCATTTCTCCTCCCTATGTTTCGTCATATTCTTGCGCAACCTCCTTTGCAAGAAAAGGAAGGTCCGATTGGAATTGTCATGGCGCCGGCTCGAGAACTTGCTCAGCAGATCTATATGGAAGCTCGAAAATTCTCGAAGGGGCTCGGTTTGCGCGCTACTGCAGTGTACGGAGGATCATCTGTCTCTGAGCAGCTCGCAAATTTAAAGCGTGGCTCAGATATTGTGATCTGCACACCAGGGCGCATGATCGACATTCTATGCATGAGCGCCGGCAAGATGGTTTCGCTGCAACGTGTGACGTATGTGGTCCTGGACGAAGCTGACCGCATGTTTGATATGGGTTTTGAGCCGCAGATCACGAAGATCATGATGAACATCCGATCAGACCGGCAAACATTGCTGTTCTCAGCGACTTTTCCTCGCGCTGTAGAGTCGCTGGCGCGGAAGGTGCTGCGAAAGCCTGTGGAGATAACCGTTGGTACACGCAGCACGGCATCTGGTGACATTACACAATACGTTGAAGTTCGGGAAGAAGATGACAAGTTTATGCGGCTATTACAGCTTCTTGGACTTTGGTATGAGAAGGGAAACATTCTTATATTTGTGAACAAACAGCAAGCTTGTGACCAGATATTTCAAGACTTGATGAAGGCGGGATACCCGGCGCTCTCGCTACATGGTAAATCCTGCATTACGCGCGTCTCTGTTTGACATTGCTGGGTGCTAATGCCTTTGTATTGTTACGGCGGGATGTTTCGATACAGGTGGCAAAGATCAAGTGGATCGGGACTACACCATCGATGATTTCAAACGGAAGGTGCGAACCGTAATGGTGGCAACATCTGTCGCTGGTCGAGGTCTTGACGTGAAAGATCTGGTTCTTGTTATCAATTACCACTGTCCCAATCACATGGAAGACTACGTTCACCGCGTAGGACGGACTGGGCGAGCTGGGCGAAAGGGTACATCGTACACGTTTATTTCCCCAGATGTACGTTTCTGCGTAATAGTTTATGTCAGCATGATGCGTATCCATTATTCACTTATTTTTGCTCGTGTAGGAGGAAGAATACTCAGTCGATCTTGTCAAAGCATTAGAAAACGCCAAGCAGACCGTTCCATTAGAACTAATAACACTAGCAGAAGGATTCAAGGCAAAGGTATTGTTGCTATTGTGTGCAACAAGTCATTTGTTATCTCTCACAATTTGCTCGCTGTGATGAAGGTTAAACGTGGAGAAGCGAGATATCACGGCAGTGGCTTTAAAGGCAAAGGGTTCACGTTTGACGAAACGGAGAGAAATGAGACTCAGCGCACGGCAGACCTTCAAAGGCGTCAATATGAACTGGATCATGGCATTTTGATTGAGGTACACTGCTGTCGAACTCAATCTTGCTCGCTAAACCGAAGTTGCTGATTTGTGGTTGTTGGCTTTGCTTTTGTAGGATTCTGGTGCAGCTGATGATGAAGATACTGAAGAGCCGAGTAAGGAGCAACCAGGTGTTGCGTCTGACAAGCCACCTGTGCCAGCCGGTCCGAAATCGATACCTATCGACAGCGAAGCGATGTCGGCTTTCATCAAGGCTCAAAAGATCATCCAAAATCTGGATTTGCAGTACAAGGGAAACGGGGATGGCAGTTCTGGCGAAAATCACTTTGTCGAAGAGCTAGAGATTAATGATTATCCCCAGCTGGCTCGCTGGAAAGTTACCCAGAAGGAGGCAAGCGACTCGGTTGCGGAGCTCACTGGTGCCGCTGTTATCACAAGAGGATCGTACATTCCTGCTGGTCGCAAACCCAATCCATCAGAGCGGAAACTTTATTTGGTACGTGCCATTTTGTTACTGTTCTACATCTACTTGGGCTTACCAAAACTATTATTATGTTTGTCTGTCTGAAGGCAATCGAGGGTTCGTCGCAATCCTCCGTTATCGAGGCGAGACGCGAGCTACAACGCATCTTGGACGAAACGACATTGCAAGTTGGCCTTGGCGGTGACAAGTACGGGAAGTACAGTCTGTAATATCATCAAGCAGATCTCTTGTCTGTTAAGCTCTGGTAGGCCGCCCGATTGGTGCTATCTCATGCAGCAGCAACCGACCATTGTGGCAAGATTAGCTTTTGTCGGTGTGCGGACTGACAGGTAAGAGAAGAGGACTTCATGGAACTTAACACTTGTCCAAGACTCATTGGTCTTCCATTTCTGTCATTGTTACATGCGTAGCCCAGTGACTGTTGGGCAATGGACACGATTGGCAGCATAGGACGCGTCCTGCATTTTGATAAACAATTAGCGTTCTAAACTGTAACGCCTACACGCAAACCATCGAGACACCATATCTCGATAGGCCCTTCTAATGGCAAATCCAGCTCCTGTAAGTCTAACGCACTGATGTCGGGGGCTGACATCTGGCTAAATACGTGTACATCTTGAGAATGCAGTGTCAAAGTTGGGTAAAGCTCGCTTCTAGATGGAAATGGTAACGTAAACTCCATCACGCGATTATTGCTATCGCGAACGGCGATCCCGTCAACAGTGAAGCGCACAAAAGCCATGCCGACGGATGACTCGGCATCACTCAAGCTTGGTGAGAACAAACCGGACGCTGCACAAGGCACATTCCCCGACGACACTTCCACGAAACCCTCCAAATGATCTGCTACTCGGGCTAAAACTCCAACAGTAGACTGGAAACCATATTTCCGGCCAACTCCGATTGAACGCTGCCTTTCTGAGCCCACAAGCACGTGGCCGGCAGAATAGAATCCTATCTGCATGTGTCAGCACGACAAAGCAAAAACTAAGCATTCTGATAGTCATATTACAAGAAGTAATAAATCTGCAAAGTAACGGACCGAGTTTTTTGACGCTCCTACGAGAGTATTCAGTGGCATCAACCGCGTAGACAACCCGATGCAAACGCTTGCATCGATACCAACTCGGTCACTAGTGCTGCCAATGTAGGTGCCTGCACCAGTGCCTTGTGAAAAAGATGTCCCACCGCGCGCTAATTGTGAAGAACTGGACGCATTATAGTTGACTGCACGCAGCGGCGCACGACTTTGCTGCAGTGTCATTTCAAAGTACACAAACCGATTCTTTTGTAATGGCACAGAAGCACGTACGCTTCGGTACATACCTGTGCCTACTTTTGATGCACAGTGGCGGCCGCAGGATAAATAAATATCTTCGTGGCAATCGTGCGCGTTAAATCGTGGCACACGCAGATCTTGGTCGCCCGTCAGCGTTACCACACGCTCGTGTCGTAGTCGATCGCGTACCTGGTATAACACATCATCTGAAAAATTGGAAAATGCCAACTGCACGCGCTTTCGGGCCAAGGGTGATACTGGAATCGACCGCGGCGTCGAGGAACTCAGGTGAGCATAGCTTGAAGTGGTCTCCTCCTGGGCTCGATTGTGACTATCACCGCCAACGCTGTCATCACTAGTCGATCGGCTCCATGATGTGGCGGCGTGCACGTTATCTGGAGGTAACCGTACAGTCGCCTCAAACGAATGAAGCGGAATCTGAAAGTGCATGACACGCCGTATTCTTCGATCAATACTCAACGGCACCATGCTTTCTTTTTCCTTGTACTCCAGCACGACCGCCGTTACTGTGAACGCACATTCAATTAAACATTCAAAAAAACCAGCATATTCAACAAGACAACCCAACAAAAGTTCTCAACGTACGACTTGGGTCAACTACATAATTCTCAGCACTGCGATGGGGTCGGTGATGCAAGTGATGGGAACTTCGAGTTCGTCCAATGCCTCCTCCTGATCCTCCCACCGAAGCAGCTTCAATGATCTCTTCGCTCGACAGTCTCAGTGTGTCCTCCACTGCTTGCAAAAGTCCATAAAACAGCGAGCATGCTGTCGAAACTCCCGGTAGACTCATCATCAGCCCGTAGATGCCATCACACACACCAAGTGACGCGCTAATTGCCAGTCTTTGCAGTGACGAGGTAATCGCTAGTACCCAGTGCACAATTCCTCGTACTTTTTCAGGCTCATTAGCGTCCCACACGCTGCTACCAGCCACGACATTACCCAGCTCTCGAGCACTCGGACGCTTAACGTGAAGTCTTACCGACGATCTGTTCACCATTTTAGCCAGTCGGCGTTTCAGATCCTTTACAATCGATGTAGGCAAATGCAAACGCTCTTGCAAGCGATCAAGTGCCTCTAATAGTCCAATGCAGACAAGAATAAGCTATTATCATGATGAAAAGATTAGATAAAAAACGAATCAGGTCTGTAGAATGAAAAAGGTTAATATGTAATTCTACCTTACCGTATCTTTTGTATCAGACAATGATTGTAACGTATAGGAATAGATACGACTCATTGTCTTTGTCTCTGACGTATTATTATTCATGTGATAATATTAATCTGAAACGTCTGTAGCTCTTGATACAAATTTCTTCCTTCACAGCAAAGGATTGAAGACGCTACAGAAGAAAAAAAAGATACTACAAACACACACAATTTTCTTTACTTTACAAACTAGACGTCACCACTGATGCACGCTATAAATGGCAAAAAGACAGGAGAGAGAGAGAAAGAGAACTCACAACCACGCCAGTGTCTCTATCTACCCAATATGTCTTTTTTTTCTGTCTTTGGTCCTGACATAATTCGAAAAAGACCTATCCCTATCCGAAATTAATAACTAACACAGTGCAACGAGAAAAGCTTTATTTTAAGGAATAGAGTCCAATACAACGATAGGTGATCTGGATAATACCGTCAACAAACGATATGCTTTATTTTTCAGTCAAAGCCTTTGGATTGACACAGCCGAACTATTGTACAATATCTTCAATAGAGGGAGCTATAACTCCTTGTGAATTCAAACTATGACGATAATTTAAAGCAACACTTTAAACGGCATGATGGCGTGATCATCCAATGACGTAGATGAAGGGTTGTTTTACCGTGTCATATGCCACGATGCCCATCAAGTTTTTGAGTATTGGAATTAACATGGTTCACACGTTAGCTCATATTACTCTGCCGCATATTGTCGTCAACAACTGCAACAGTAGCAAAAATGTCGTCACTTGATTACCACCCCATGTCCTTAAGTACTTGCAGCCATCTCTCGCACAGCAGTCTGAATCGACTTGCTGAACTGACATAGACGCAAAAATTCGTCCTGTCGTACCTTGTCCAGATTGCGAACCTCTTGTTCTCCTTGTGCAATTTCAACTCCGAGACGAGTAACCTCTGCAAACGCATCCTTTTTCATGTTGATTAACTCTTCCATGTCACGCTGAATCCTTCGGATATTCCCCAGATTCTGACGAATGCTAGCCTCTAGTGTTGCACACTTACGGTGACACGCAGTTTGAGCATACGAGACGTCAGCAATACAAGTTTTCAAGAACTCTTTCAGCTCCTCTGGATCGGATTTTATATAATAAACGACATTCGCCACCACTCCATCTCGAGCTTTTTCCAACTCTGCCTTTTCTTGTCGAAGTTTATTTGCCCTCGTGCGGGTTCTAGTCACCTCCTGTATATCGATCGGTTGAGAACTCGATAATGCTTTTGTCTTCTTCCGAACATGATCAACCTCCTGGTCAATGTTGAAGATCTTTCCGCTGAGCTGGTTATACTCAACAATCATAAAGCGCAAAACAGGATCTTCATCCTCTCCCATTGAATTCTCCATCAATGTTTCTACGTCGCACACTGGGTTCTCTTGAGCAGTGGTAGCTGAGGTTAACCACGCATCTTCAGTCTTAACACAGGTCTCTTCTTTAATATTTGGCTGAGCTGATGGTAAAGAGGACGCATTACTTAAGGCATCGCTTTCGCCGTCAAGTGTGAGGTCAATCATGGATGAAGCCTTCTTTCGAGATAAATGCTTCGCTTGTCTCGTATGATTGTGATCTACAGGCGGAGGAGTGCCGTCAGGGACAGATCCATCGATTGTCAAGTTCCCCAGCGCTGCTGTCGTGGCATTCGTTGTAGTTGCTCTAACAGCTTGCTCTAGTTTAACATGTGCTTCAGCCGAAGCGCTATACTTCACTTCTGGCATATTCATCATAGGTTGCGATGCCAAAGCAGCTTTCACGTCTGTTGCAGCAGCTCTGTCTTGCAAGTCACCTTTGCTCATCTTGACCATTTCCACAAACATTAGGTTCCAGCTAGCAAAAGGAAGCATCTTTGGTGATGATCCTACGTGAAAGCGTAGCAAATTTACAACTCGTCAAAACAAACGATAATTGACAGATTTGCAGTCGTCTTGTAGCCTCACTACCTTCGACACAAAAGTAAAAGTGCGGCTCTAGCTGCAGATGCTTGGTCGCACAACAGTTCTCGCACTGATACATGTTGCAATTAAGACAAAAAAACTCCATCGTTTTCTCCCCACAATTATGACAAGCTACAAACAACATTAAACTCATCAGTTAAGAGAGACCATCATTTAATACCATAGCATTGTTCCTGCCAAACCGCTGATCCATTTGAGGAATTCCTGGTGTGGTCGTCCGTCGCCTTTGCTTTCTTCACACTTCATGGCCAAATCCTCGAGTCGGTGATGTATCACAAGCTCACACTGTCTGCATAAGCGTTGGACACAGCGTAAACACTCGTAGTCGGCGATGGCAACGAGGCATTGATCACAGTGAGGTCGCTGCAGCTCTGTGAAGCCAGAAAGAAGGATCAAATTTACCCAAAACACAAGATATATACAATGTAAGGTTAGCAGTACTATTTTGGGGACATGGTGGTAGCTGGTAGATACGTACGCGCAGGCTCCACCACAGATGCGAAGCTCGGGTCCTCTTGCTCTTCCAATGGCTGCATTTGACTTGTTACTTTACCCGTTGAGCTTTTTCAGCAAATCACAGACGAGGATTGCTTTAAATTGAATAACGTTATTGGATTAAATGAAATTGATTCAGTAGAAGTAGAAGAACATTGACACAAATGGAGCTCTTGCTGGAAAAGGCTGACGTTTTATGGCTTGCTCAGCCATATAAGAAGAAGAAAGAGATGTTAGAAGGACCAATGTATTCTTATCTAACTGTGCTACTTCCTTCTGCTAATAATCAAGATGCTGGAGTACCGTTGCCTTGCAGTATTCACATTCCTGCGGAAGAGTTGACAACGGAGAACAAGACGTCGCAGTTGGATGAGCATGTAACGTTCGAGATTCGGGATGGTGTGGAGGTTTTGTCGACCCATGTGATGAAACTACGCGACTGCATTCCAGTGCTGACGGAAGGATCTGTCCATTGGATGCAGCCAGTTCTGCACAAAGACGTTCGTGTCGCTTGACGTTGATTGCAGTGATCTGTTGGAGTTTAGATGGGCTAATGAATCTGTTGGTTTGTTTTGAGCATTTTTAAAATTAGGCGGTGTGGAATGTCGAGACTTTTGTCCATGTGAGGACGGACCGACGTCCACGCGCATTGATCTCTCATGCGATCGCGGTCCAGAATGGTGCGAGAAACGTCGCGCACAAGGTAGGTGAAACTGTTGTGGCTAGTATCTTTATATGTGAGCGACCAAAGGTCGTAAGTCTTGACGGTCTGATAATTTTGTTTTGATGCAACTAGCTGTCGCTGCACAAGAATAAGGTAGTTGTTGGACTGCTTCCAGGGGTCATAGGCTGCGTCCTAGGTTTTTTGGGAACGTTTCCAATTTGGCTTCCTCTGACACTGTTGGTGGGCGTAATGGGCTTTCCTGTTTGGCTTGTTATTGGTGCTGCGATGTCGCTGGTGACGGTGCTTTCTGCCATTTCTGCGGTCTTGGCTCTAAAACTTGCACGCTCAGAGAGTGTGAAGGGTGCGTGTCAGCGTTTCTTAACCAGTCAGCAGGGCCAGCTGCTGCTATTCCAGGGAATGCCCGGTGAAGAGGTCTTTTCACCTTCTGTTCTATCCGATCGTGCAAAAGAGTATGTGCTCGAAAGTCCGTCTCGCAAGCTAGTGGCAAGTTTGGCCATCGACTTTGTAGGGAATGCGACGTTTGTGATTCCTGTTCTAGGTGAGCTAGCAGATATATTTTGGGCACCCGTATCGGCTAGGATGGTGGATATTCTCTACAAGGAATCGTCTCCGCGTGTCAAGTACTTGGCTTTTCTCGAAGAGGTACTCCCCTTTACGGACTTTATTCCCACTGCAACTCTATCATGGTACGTTGATTATGTAGCCTCTAGTGGTTGGCCATCTCTGTAGAGCTAAAATGTCTCTTGTACGGTGGTATGGATAGGATAAAGGAGAATCTCAACTCGTCCGAGCTGAAAAAGATACTCAAACTTACCAGATTTCACAAGCAAGCGTAAGAATATGATGCTCAATATGAAGTTGTCGCTTCCAATTGATTGAGTGTAGCCAGCAGACAGTGATAAAAACCTCCATCGACTGGAGAAATGGAATCTAGTTTTACTTCAAACATGGCTGTACCATCTGTCAATATTTTCTAACATTTCATGAGTCGAATTGATGTAACGCTCAAAGAAAACGTACTGTCTTTAACCAATACATACACCATATATCAACCATATGTTTTTGATGAAATATTGTTGGGAAAGGACCGTTTGAAAAGGTAGAAAGAAGAATCCAAAAGTGTTGGGAATGGTCATTTTCAAAAAAAGTGCTCCATCGTCTTCACATAGAATTAAACAACAATGTCTGGGCAAGTGGAGGAGTGTACACATTTTCACGATATAAAGATCACTGATCTCATCATGACTCCGCCTAGAAAGCTACGGTAAGAATACGTTTTTAGTATTCTTTTCAGTGTAGTTAGAGTGACTTATAGCTTCTCATCAATTTCAGGCAGTTAGCATCACCTCCAAAGATTAACCAGACACGTCCCGTTTACTCGACTAGAATCGGTCCGTTGCTTCCTTCACCTGATGATTGGATCGAACAGGAAGCAGCTGTCTCACTTAAAGGTCATCTTTAGGATTCGAAGTGGAGCAAGAACAAGGCATGAACCATATTTTATTAGCAAACAAGATGCTACATTTCATCGGATGTGTGGCCACTGTTAGATTTTTTTTTGTTTTTTTTGTGCAGTATATTAACGACTAATGCAGCTAGACTACTTGCTGTTGTTCTACTGTGGCCATTTGGAATTATTGGATAGTTCTAATATCAACGCATTCAATTGACCTCAAAATGCGTTTGAACTAGCCAATCGCCACTGTATACAGAAAAGCTAACATGGGCATATCATGTGCTCAAAGTGTACGAGGAAAAGGTAGTCTTTGTGCTGGTATTACTTCTGAAATTGCATATAGACGCAAAGTCGAGTCTGGGTAATGAGTAATCCGGCCTCATTGTGTTGCAGGGCGAGTATGAACACCAAATGTTGCAAGGTGAGTACGAAGACCGAAAATTGCGTTCAGATTCCGTGCAAGTAGCTCAAGGGCGATCTGCATGAAACCTGGCAGCAACTTTGAGGGCAATTGTGAAAGGTAGCATCAGAAATGGTGGAGGCGCCGGACTGATGCCGAAGGACAGTACAGATTGACGTGTTAAGGCCACCAATCCGTGAACCTCGACCGTAAATAGATGACGTAAATTTCATGTGCACTTGGCAAAGACGCAAAGACTTATACATTCAGCCCTTGACTTTGTACTCGAAGAAGATGTCGGGTTGTTGTTGCAAGAAAACATTATGCACGATGTCCAAATAACGCCACAAATGCATTGGTATCATACACGATGCCAGCAGATGCACACGCACTAAACAAATATAAGCTAACACTGTATAATCAAGTAGAACAAAGGCAATATACAGCAAGAAAAAGAATCTATATACGGTCACCAATTAGTTACTCCTCCACGTCCATGGCGACCATATCATCGCTAGCTTCGTCGTCACCCTTCTCTGCCTACCATCTTTTGAATGTCTTCCGTTGTAATCACACCACTTTTGACCAGTTTTTCCTTTTCTGCTTCTACGTAGATACGATGACGTTTCGCGTCCTTCTGCTGTTTCTTCTTGGACGGCCGAGGCTTGCGCAACACCGTGCGTTTACCCTTTTGCTGTGTCGCCACCTTCTTTTGGTTACGTATTTCTGCACGCTTTTTGTGAAGAAGTTTTACTTTCTTCTTATTCATCGTCTGTACTGCTTGACCATTGGCGCCCATCGTGGAAAAACGTCGCCTTGTTTTAAAGACTGGAATATTACAGTTAAAAAACCAAGACTCGATTGATTGGTCACAGCGAAAAGGAGTACATTTGTGGTACAATCGTACTTAATAAATGAACTCGTAGATGACGACACTAAGGCATGCATGGTATTGTAGTTTGCTGTATCTGTTTGTAATCAAGCTCATGCGATTAGCTAGCAGCCCTGTGATTTTTGAGGTTGTGAGAGAGTGACAATGATAAGATGCACTGATACAATACTAAAAATGGTGCGATTGGTAACTGTCTTGACGTTTTATAACAGCAGAGCATAAATTGTGATATGCATGTTGCAATGCACCTCTATTCAGGTGCAACATCTCTTACTACCATGAATCTGCGACACCTCCACAGCCCCAATCGAACTAGGTCTGCATGCATACTCTACTTCTTGGATCGCTTGCCTGCACCTTTCTTAGGGATAGACTTGCCCCGCCGCTTCATCTGGTCGAGTTTGCCGAGACGCTCCTCGTTCAAAATCTCAAAATTGGGATCGTCGCCGCCGAGACGTAAAAGCAGAGGTTTGTTAAACCATGAGGCTACCTTATCACCCTTAAGCTGCTTACTGATGACCTTATTTCCTGACGGGATGTGGCGTTGTGGTAGACGCTGAAAGATCTTGCGACTAAGGTCCGCAATCTGCTGAGGAGATGCCATGATGCTTGCTTGCGTGCTGCCAGTCTTTTAGTGTTTTTTAGTCTTTTTGATTGGGTAAAAGTTGTAGACAAACGATTAGTGGACGGACCGTATTTATTTACTGAGGAATCAATCAACTATTGTTTAATTACAACTACATGACCAGTATCACCGGCTGACAATCACTAAACCTCGCATTTCCTCAATCTTCTTGTCCTCATTTGTCACCATGTGTCACAATTGCACGTGTAAGATTGGTCCTTCACTTTTGGCATCGGATCTCTCATGTCTCAAGGATGAATCTCTTAAAGTAATGGCAGCTGGTGCTGACTATTTGCATCTGGACGTGATGGATGGCCACTTTGTACCCAACATCTCGTGGGGTCCGCCCGTTATCAAGTCACTGCGGCCGCACACAAAGGCGTTCTTTGACTGCCACATGATGGTATCGAAACCAGAACAGTGGGTGACTGATATTGCAGCAGCTGGTGGTGATCAGTTTACCTTCCACTTAGAGGCGACGGAAGACCCTCTGGCCCTGATCAAGCAGATCCGTGACGCTGACATGAAGGTAGGTCTAGCAATCAAGCCTAGCACTAGCGCAGAGACTGCCGACCCGTACGTGAAGCTGGTAGACATGGTGCTTGTCATGACTGTGGAGCCGGGCTTTGGTGGACAGAGTTTCATGGCTGAAATGATGCCCAAGGTGGAGACCATCCGTCATAAGTATCCGACGCTAGACATTGAGGTGGATGGCGGTTTGGGCCCCTCTACCATTGACGCTGCAGCCAAGGCAGGTGCCAACATGATTGTTGCTGGAAGCTCCGTGTTTAAAGCAGTGGACACGAAAGCAGTCATTTTGCAGCTGCGTCACAGTGTGGAAAAGTACGGTAACGGTAAGAGTGACGACCTATTGACAAAGCTATGAATGGTTGCAATGGCATCCATCGATGCAACTCGTTTGACCGTTGTCTGGATCTACCGTCGTCCAATTGATCCAAATAAAACAAATGTATCAATCTAATGCTGTTAGATGCAATAAAAGAAACGTGCATACTAAAGAAGACGTCGACTGCATCCTAAAACGTCGAACTGCCTCCTGAGACGCCGCTACAGCTGGCGCAAACGCAAATTCGACCCAAGAATCAGCTCGCGACTTCATCTCATATTTACATATCCTCATCTTCAGTATCGTCATCGCCAGTAGTAACGACATCTTCATCCGCAAGACGTTGGTACTTGTCCTTGGACCAGACACTCAGCATCACAAGCTTAAATTCGGCCATCTTGTGATCAAAATGCACAAGCATCTTGGCTTGTTCCGGTGTCAGAGTTTGTCCAAGCTTACAGATAGTATAGTTCCGACTGAGCACGACGGCGCCCTTCTTCAGATCCACAGGCAATCCCAGGCCACGTAGCGATTCGATCATGCTTCCAATGAATTGCGGTAGCGGACCTTCAGGAATTGTGACAGTCTCAGTGGCTACGAAGCCCGATCGTGGGTAATCGCTGACCGAGAGCTTGGCGAAATAGTCCATGACCTCCTTGTGCGGCTTGCTAGTGAAGAGTAGACCTGTGTTGCCGCTGACGTCCTTGGAAAGATGATAGATATTCTCGGCATATTCCTCTTCTTTAGATCGACCAAGTGCAAGCTTCATGACTTTATTCTTGCCAAGGAAGAAGCGACTATCTTTAAAGTCCATGCGAACGTTCTTAAAATGGTTGGTGCGCATGTTTTGGAAGCTAAAGACATAGGCAGATTCATACGTATCTACAGCATTACGAATAGAATCTACAACATTCTTCTTCAAATTATTGCCTTTCTTATTGGCCTGTGTTAATGATTTTGTCCGCTGTCTCCTAGACTTGGGCATGGTCAACTCCAGATTCTCTTAAATGCTTGTGTCAAGTCTTTGGTTTGAACTCTTGATGGTAGGAACCAACCAAAAGCACAGCTTTGTCCAATCACATATGATGTCTTTTATTGGCAAATCATGCGTCAATCAATATAAATACGCTAATATCATTGGTTCATATCTTAAGTTACCATGCCCAGTCAGTCAGTTGGGAGAAATCCATTCTAAAAGCACCGACACACATACCATGGCGTGGGGTCTTGACACGACGCCGACGTCGACGCGGGCGCCTATTGCTGCTGACTCTACTACTGCCACTTCCAATGCTTCTACGGCTACAGCTTTATCTTCTTTTCCTTCTGCTATGGGCATACTAGGTCCCGCACCCGAGTCTACTGAGTCTATCGACATCTTTGAGGGTGTTACGCCTGTGGCAAGCGTAGAATTGGAGGGTGTGGCGCTGCTGCAGATCATTAAGCACTGCCATGAGAGTTTACCTGGTGGTGTAGCTGGATCACTGCTGGGTATGGTAAAAGCGCACGTGCTAGAGGTGACAAACAGCTTCCCGTCGCCGCCCAGCAGCGAGCGCAAGAAGGGTGCTGACGAGTACCAGTTGGACATGATGAAGAGTTTACGCGAGGTTGGAATGGACAATAACAAAGTAGGATGGTATCAGTCAGTGGCAATGGGTACCTTTTGTACAGCCTCGTTTATTGAGCATCAGTATCAGTATCAGAAGACTCTGGGTCCAAATGCCATTTGCCTCATCTACGACTCGGCGGAGACGTCCAAGGGTTCGTTCAGTCTTCGCGCGGTTCGTCTTACTAAGGTTTTTGTAGACACATACAAGAGTAACGCTTTTACTAAGGAGAGCTTTGCTATGATTGACATCCGCTCGGCTACGGTTGTGGAAGAAATTCCCATTGAGATTCACAACTCGGACATTATCACATGTTGGCTGCAGCAAACAAAGGACAGCGTCTTGGAAAATAGTTTTGAGCGGCTGGACTTGTCTACTAATGCTTACTTAGAAAGCAGTCTGAGGAACATGACGCTTTGGGCTGATGAGCTGGCACAAGAGCACTACAAATTTCAAGGATACGAGCGCGCATTATCTAAACAACGTGCTGCCTACCAGCAGTGGCAGAATAGACAGCGTGAAGAGAACAAGATTCGTCGTGAGAATGGCGAAGAGCCTGTGCCTGATGAGGATTCTAACTTTTTCAAGTCGGTGAACCAACCCTCGCGTCTCGAGTCGCTCCTTATTACTAAGCAGATGAATACGTACTGTGAGCGCATCAACCGCTATGCCGGAAAGTCTTTCCAGAAGCTGTTTTTGGCTGCTAAGATTCACCAGAACGAATGAATAGCAGGCAATGCAAGTCTGTGCTTGTGAGACCGCTATCTTTCAGCGCGAAAGCTCAAAACAGGAATCTTTGGAGACAGACGATAGAGCGGGACTGCAATTGGTGTAAGTCACGAGATGTTGAAGCGGCCGGTTGGCGGGCTGCAAGTTTAGATTGAACAAGGTTGGAGATGGAATGCGGTGCATTCTCGCTATGAGGATTGAATCCTTTCCGGTCGTTCGTTTGTTCGTTCATCTTCAAGGGAAATTCATTTGTGTGCTTTACTTTACTCTCCACTCTATCGTATCCTGCATGCTGAATAGATGTAATCGTTGAAGTTAATGTCCTTGAAGTAGAATACGTTGGTATGAGTGAGTTGGCTCTGAGATCAGCTTCCTCATAGGAGCACCTTGCAACCGACATCCATTTGTACAATATGCCACCACCGATGACGTTTTTACCACACACACAGTACTTTCCTTGACGATACGGCCACACGTCTGCAGGCGTGGCCACAAGCGAGCAGAATCCTGTAAATACGCTGTAGACACAAATTTGTGCGACGTTTTCCGCTTGTCCTGAACAAAATAGTCCTCATTAAAACAATTATTAAAGTTGTAGTATTTTGGTCCGAAAATTATGGTGGGACCAGATATTGCAATGCTTCATGCAAGTTGAAGTAAATGTATCCATGTTCTGAAGTGTCTATAACGGGTTTTATCCTGGATAATGTATAATTAATCTTTTTTTTCTTTTGGATAAAATATGTTCTGGCGTCGCAGTGCTGCGAAAAAGGCGGCGGTGGAGGAGACGGATGATCTGGTAAAGCTGCAAAAGCAGTTTGGTATTGTACCAATAAACGATTCAGACGTAGAGACCGAGTTTCAAGCTCTCTTTGGCTCTCTATCAAGTCCAATCGAGGAAGAGCGTCGGTTTAGTGGGATAGACAATGAAGACGAGAACGAAGAAGCGACAATTCTAAGAGATTTGCAGCTAGAAGAAGATCAAGATGAGAGTGATGGTCACGACGAAGCGAAAAATGAGCTGTATGGATTGCTTGAGGAGGCCCATACGACAGCGAGGGAAAGTCATTGGCGAGAGGTTGCAGAAATGAAAGAAAGCGGCGAGCTAGTTGCTCCACTAGAGGAGCAAATTCGGACTTTAAAGATGCAAGCACTGGCACTTAAGAAAGCGGGAAAAGTTCAGGATGCGCTGGTCAAGTTTCGTGAGGCGAAGCAACTCCAAGAGAAGTTGTCGAAGCAAGGACTACGCTTGTTGCAAATACAGCATGAGAAACCGCAACATTATGTGCCATCATTGAAGGAGATTGTGCTGCTGGATGATGGTAATGATGATGATGATGGCGGTGATGTTAAAGTTACGGACGAGGACTTGCAGGATCCTGAATTTCTAGCTCAATTGGCGAGAATGGGATTTACAGAGGACGATAGAAACATCAGTGGTCCAGATGATGTAAATGTGATGCAGGAGTTATCTGCTTTGGAGGCAAAAATTTACGAATTAAAGTTTCAGGCTGTGCAATTTAAGCGTGAGAATAAGATTGCAGATGCGTTGGCTTGCATGCGGAAAATGAAAGAGTTAGAGGCAAAGCGAGACGAGCAGCGATCCTCTTCAGTGATATCTCTTCAAGTTGACCAGAAACGATCAACACTAGAGGTTGCAAAATCTGTAGATGACTCGATTCCAGACAACTCCGTATCTGTTGTGCACTCGAGTGTGAATACCCTGTCTTTTGACACAGATTGCTCAGAAAGCAATAACCATAACATAACTGACATTGCAGTGCCTCTTCAAGACATGAACGATCCAGATTTTGCAGTAGAATTGCAAAATCTGGGTGATGAGGATGCTTCACCGCTTGAGCCTGTGCAGACAGAATTTTGCGTGTTGCCGAGCATGATGCTTGAACGAAAGATTGTTGTTAACTCGCGATCCTTGAGAAAGATTCCATCAATTGATGAGGACTACCTGATCGATGCGTTTGATTACAAGCTTGAATCTGATGAGGAAGAAAGTTATCGTACATTGATGATGTCGAGTACACCATTGCGTCCGCCTCCTTCTCTGTCAGAAGGAAAAAGCATTTTGTCATCAGCTGAATATGAACACACGACAGCCGAGATATTTTACGTTTCTGACTTATTTACACAGTTACAAAAGGTCAGGCAAACGGCGTTATTCTTAAAGCAGAAAGGGGATATACAAGGCGCACTTGAAGCCATGAAGAGAGCAAAACAGATTCAGAATCATATTGATCACAAGCAGCAGGTCTCTCAACAACCTGCATCGACCCTCGTCTCTGTACCGAATGTTGCAAACACTGCTAAATTCCAGGAGATTGAGCAACTGCTGGTAGATTTTGGCAACCGAGCGATGGTATTGGCAAAAGAAAGTCTATCGGTGAACCGTGAAAAAGCCTCAGATTATTTGAGCAGGGTAAGGACAAACCGGTGTGCTGTTTGATCTTGGTTTTGTCTTTGTTTATAGTGTCTTAAGAAATTGTGTTGTGTCTTGTTGCAAACAGCGAAAGCGCTACAGTGCCGAGCTGGAGAAACTACGACTAAAACGGCAAAATCCGCTGCAGCTGCCTCCGCATTACGAAATTGTCAGAAGCTCGCGCAACGTAGTGTTTGAACTGCCGTTCGTTCAAGATGATCAGATCATGGTCTTGGTCAAGAGTGTGAATGGGCTGTCGCAGGTTGCAGACAAGTTTGTCTTTGTCAAGTTTTGCCTTAATTTTCCATCTGGCGCGTCCCACGAGGGGCAAACTGCTGAATTTCAAATCAGCTCTAACGCCTCGTTTTCTACAAAGATTCCAGTAAACCCGACGAGTTTCGTCTTTAAGTTGACACGATCACGAGGAACGATGCGCCTATTTGAAATAAAGAAGGCAGTTTTTGAAGTTTGGAAGCCGGCAACGCTCTTCCGGAACTCCGAACTTGTCGCTCGAGCTTATCAGCCATTGGTATGTTTGTGATGCGGTTGTCCTTGACAGTGTCAACTCATTTACGTGCTGTGTTTGCTTTAATTTTCTCGTAGGCACCTCTCTTGACGTGCTGTGAAATCAACACCCATATTCCTTTTCTCGGCCCAAATAGAAAACCGTGTGGAGGCGATATTGAGGTGATGGAATATATAGGTATCACTAATCACATACACGGAAGTATAACTAACGCATTATTACTTGTGACGTAACAGATAGCACTGCAAATGCGTCGTCCTATGAAGGAGAAAGAAATCCGTTTGGAGACTGTGGAGGAATTGGTCATTGGTGAATACTTTGAACCCATGACGTCCTCTCTAGGACACGTGTCCATGTCTGGTGCTGTAATGGAGCAAGCATCAGCTAGCTCCCACAGTCTTGCCATGATAGGGTCGAAACCGACGCGCGATCATCAGAGTGCAGTGCTTAAGGAGGACCAAGCAAGTTCTGCCTCTGCACCGCCAGATGACCCACACGATCTTGATCTGATTGTCAGCTACGATGTTATGAACGAAGAGGTAAGCACTGCTACAGGACCTCAAGACGTGTCTGAAAGACTGATATCTTGTTTCGTATTTGTTATAGCTTGTGAAAGTAGCAGCTAAACTCCCATCCTTAACAGGACCTACGGCGATAGAGTGGAGTGATCGATATGATTCGCTAGCATTGAAAAAGCAACTGCTTGAGATTGAAATGCAGACTGGAAAACTGACGCTAGAAATGTATATGGAGCGTCTACATCTCCGTATATCTGCTGATCGTGTGTTGATCTCACAATTGCTGACGTCCAATCGACGGTTGGATGCTGCACGAGTTCTCCATCGTATTAAAGTCATGGAAAAAGAGCTAAAAGGTACGGAATGTGATCCCAGTGATACATGAGGCGCGTGGAATGCTACTCGTTAGCTCAGGCTAAAATGCATGACATGTTTTTGTTTTGGAGACTGTATACCGGTTATAATAGTAATGTTACTTAAGGCATCAAATAATATTAAAAAAGAGAGTGGTTTGGAAACTGTCAGTGTTCACTTTAGTGCCATTCCATTTTGAGCCAACCAAGTCAATGCATAAGACACGCTCATCATCCATCGACCGTTAAAAGAGCTCTTGACATTACACGCATTAGCACGCATTAGCAACAGCAGCAGTAGTAGTTTGAATCAAATATATACTAGTTTCTAGACGCAACAATATCTATCTGAAGCAATTATGAGTGAGCAGGAGAATGTTAAAGAGTCTCAGCAGCCAGTAGAGGAAGAAAAGACAGTGGTGGGGGGACACGACTAGTGCTATGGTTCTTCCTACTGTTAATGACGTAGCTACTAAGGTAATTACAATTGAAAAACGAGAACTGATAGACAAGAATATGATGATGATTGATGAGGTGTATTCTTAGATGGTTATGTAACTTTTGTGTGAATTTTGCAAGCAGCATCCACTACAAAATCGATGGGTATTATGGTATGATAACCCAAAGAAACGCCACTCGACCGAGTCCTGGGAAGAAAATCTGAAGAATGTGTATACAATTAGTACAGTAGAAGACTTTTGGTGGTATGTTAGGCACGTTGACGTTGTTGTTGTGGCTGTAGACATTGACGGAAAATGCGTGTGTGTGACTTGTGTCATGTGGTTTCTCTACAGTCTATACAACAATATTCTAGTACCTACAAAGCTTTCAATCGGCAGTAATTATCACTTATTTAAGGAAGGAATTCGACCAATGTGGGAAGATCCGATTAATGCCAAGGGCGGGAAGTGGATTTTCACTAATCCTCGCTCGCGTAAAGCGCGACTTGATGAGTGTTGGCTCTACGTGGTACGTTGGAGGTTGTGACAATTGGCATCATTTTAAATCCTGGTTTGGTACTTACGGTGATGAGTTGTAAATGTTTCAGATGCTTTCACTGATTGGTGAGACGCTGCAGGATGAAGATGATGTTTGTGGTGCTGTGGTTAGCGTGCGCAAGGCGCAAGACCGCATTGCTATTTGGAGTGCAACAGCGGATGCTGAGGACCGTCAGAAGGCCATTGGACGGGGCTTTCGTCAAGCTCTCGTTGATCTTGGCAAGAGTGAAGTGCTCAAGTATCAGTCGCATGCTGACGCTGCGGCAAGCGGATCCAGTTTCCAGAACGAAGTGTAAGTTGATCATCTTCAGACGCGCATGTTGTTTTCTGTTGATGACACCTTTTGTCTGTTGTTGCAGACTGTATGAGGCGTGACTCGACGCCGTTGTAACCACATTTGTGTAGTAGAGATCTGCAGTATATGCAATTCATACACAACTTTTGAGCAATTTGAGCAACTATTGACATGTCAAAAATGTTGGAGCTTATCATCTCGAAACAGGATGATATTATTACGATAGCCGGCTGTTGATATCTTGCACTACTAATTTTCTACGCAAAAGAGTCGCACAGACTCATCATCGCTGGCCGTAAGAAGCCCAGTCACTGAGTTGCCTTCGATAGCAGGGACAAAAGCCATGTCAAGCACCATATCAGTGTGGCCAGCCAACGTCTTCAAAAGTTCTCCTGTCCGGGCATCCCAGGCGTAAACAAGGCCTTCTACCGTGCACGAGTACACAATTGGCTGCAAGGGGTGCCACAAGAGTTTAATGACGCCAGCAGGGTGACGGCAAACGTGGCGGCACTGAATGAGATTAAAACTTATTGGTTAGCACCACTCGAGCCAGAAATGCTTCAACGTACTCAACCTAGTTACCTGATTAGTTGCCAAGTCCCATATACGCAAATGTCCACCCAGGCAACCTGTAGCGGCCCAGTTCATCGAGTTACAAAATCCTCCGCTATAATACAAAGACGATGGTGTCAGCTAGAACTGTGCGCTATCAGACGAAGAGTGTACGCACCATTCCACCGAGTTCTCCGTGGCATTTGGACTATCGCTGATAGTTCTAGCGATGCTCGAGTCAGCGCTTTTGTGCGAGAGCGTTGCAAGGACACGTTTCGTTTGCACTTGAATTAGACGGGCTGTGCCATCTTGGGAGCCAGAAATTGCTAGCGGTTGCTGGTTCAACAAGATCTGGCAGTCAATTCTTTATTCTTTGGTCACTAGAAAAATGTAGTCTTAACTTACGCTCGAGTGACAGACAATGAATGTCACAGGGCCTTCGTGGAAACCGTGGCTGTACAGATACGAATCGTTAGTCCTTTATCGGCTACAGATACGATACAGAGACAGTTGACGTACCCCCGAAACACGTGATTACATTCGCCAGTCTTCGGGTTCCACACACGCACAGTCATGTCCGAACTGCCAGTTACGATCATCTACCCCACAGCACACATCATCCGCAATTGAGACACTCACAGAAGTCGAGCCGCATGATGCTTTTTGTAGCGCACCTTTCCGGATCCAGTAAATGAACCACAAGTGACGCCATCATCATGTCCAGCAAAAACGTGCATGCAATCTCCAGTCGTCGCGAGCCACATCCACACGGTGCCATCGCTAGATCCTGCCAGCACCACATGTCCCTTCTTGTGCCAACACACCCACTCAACCTCCTGCGATGGGCCTTCAAGATTTTTGACCAAATTGCCTGTAGCAACTTCCCAGACCTTCACAATGCCATCGTATCCGCCAGTAGCCGCATACTTGCCGTCAAAGCTAAAGTCCACACTCACCACAGTGTCCTGGTGACCCGACAGTGTGTAGAGCACATTCCCATCTTCACGGTTCCAGATCACACCGATGTCATCACCTCCTCCAGTAATGACAATCCTTGAATCCACTGGGTTCACCTTGATCGAGTAGACTGGACTCGAGTGTTTATGAAAGACCTAATATATCGGTCAATACGTTCCATCCAAAGTAAGTTGTTGTCTACTTGTTTTCAAGCATTTCTTCTTATCCCACTGCTCAAAATATAATTGTACCATATCAGCATCATCCCGCACATCCGCATCTTCTGCAGAGATTCTTCCATCATTGTCCACATCTTCCATGACGTCGTCATCGTCATCTAATCCATGATTACACACAATCCAAAACCTCTTGTAAAATATTCAACACTTTCTTCAAACGTTGCTGCAATATCTCCTCACCTTGTGGTTCGACTCCAATATCAAACTCTTCCGTCGTATCATCAGCTGTAAGAATCTCAATCTCCGTCGTCTCATCCATGTCTGTCATTTTTGTATCCAATACCATTTGTAGCTCTTCGAAAGATACTATTACTAAGTAATGAATGACTGGGTTCAGGCTTTTTGATAACAGACGATGCACATTACAGCATACACACAAACAAGTCGTCTCATTTGTCAAAAAGATATGATTAAAATACAAATTACACCAATCCCAATCTGCCACTGTATTCAACTTTTAGTATGGACACTAAATTGTGTCAATCCAAGACACAAAAGGATGCGATTTAGTGTGACCACCACGACGGCCATTGTCGCATGTTCCTGCATGGCAGCAGCATACGTTGGTGTGCTGTATACACTTCCTACTACAATTCGTAGACTTCCACGTGATCATCCAACACATGTACGTATCTATTTGTATTCTTTTTTCTAACGACTCGGACGTGTTTCTAACCTTGGGAGTCATGGTATGATTACGATAGATTCTCGCGCGTTTCCTACTCATTTGTATCTTCTGTGCTCTCTGTCCATTCATTCTAGCAGTCTTTTATGATCATGTGCGTGGTAAATATTGACCTTATACTACTGATTTTGTCATAAAGAACATCAAGCGTGCAGTAGATTGATGGAAGGACTTTGTGCTCTTGCATAGGATGAAGCAAGTATGTCGTTTGCACAGTGGCTCGGTATTCGCTGGGAAGGATTAGTACAAGCAACGATCATGCCACTTTTTACAACAGCAGTGCTGTTTACAGGATCATTATTGGCCAATGCACTGCGACTGCTGAACGTATCAAAGCAGTTCCATTCGAATGGCGTGTGGTTTGCGATTAAAAACTCGGCATTGTATTATTCCATCACGCACGATCGACTTCCATCGTTGCGCACGTATATTCTGGTACGCGATATTATGTTGTGCTGATAAGATGATGAGGAACAAGATCTTGTGGGGTCTCATAGCTCATACTTATAAACGGACGTGTGTATTAGGGTCCATTGACAGAAGAGTTTGTATTCCGAAGCTGCATGGTCCCACTCCTTGTATGTGCCAATTTCACTGTCAAGCAAATTATTTTGGGCAGTCCGCTAATGTTTGGAGCAGGTATGAGAAACGCAAAGCATAGGTTTAGTGGCTGGTGTAAATGGATGAGCTCACCATTTGGTTATGTGTGTTTCTGTTTGGCTTAGCTCACTTGCACCACTTTATGGAGTATGTGCGACACGGTCGGTCTCTAAAGGACGCCGCGTTGACTGTTGGTATGTGTCGACCTATTTTTATAGTAAGCGTGAGTCCAAGCCTGACGCAGCTATGGTTTTCTTAGGCTTCCAGCTTATTTACACCTCTCTCTTTGGAGCCTATGCAACTTTTATTTTCCTGAGAACAGGTTCGATTGAGTTACTTTATTTTCCCTTACCTCCTCACTCAAGCTAATAGCTGCAATTGTGTGCTCGTGTGTTTACTCTCTCACCACGTAATGTCTTTTCTCTGCAGGACATTTTGCGTCAATATTCCTTGTGCACGTGTTTTGCAATGTGATGGGGTTTCCTGATATTTCCTTTTTCAACCCGGAAAGCTTATTGCACCCTTATCGATTAGGTACGTTCCGTCGCGTTGTTTGGACAAGATATGAAAAATCAAAACTGACAAACACGCATGACATTGTTAATATATGTAAACAGTGCTCCTCGGAGCTTATTTTCTGGGTATCTATGGTTTCTCTCTCCTCCTGATGCCGTTGACCGAACCAGCCATCTATTCATCGGGAATGTGGAATGTGACGGCGTCTGCAACAGAACACAAACTTGTGTTTGAGTATTCGGGAACTCTCTGAGATCTAGCCGAAATATTTGTTGTTTTCCAGCACTATAGAGCATTTTATGAACGAAAGCAAAACATCACCGCACTACTAACGACAGTGTCTATGCTGTTCACATGATATTTGCACTCCACTACTTGATAACCCTTAACAGATACCATCGTATAACTGCACCGTTGCGGCTCTTTACGCTAGCTGAGTTCCTCATCGATGCCGGTTCCTCAGACATTCAAAGAGCGCATTATTTTTCGCTATTGCTAGCGCAATTGTTTGCTTGAAACATGTGCTCCATGTCAGTTGTACGATATGCTGTGGCGGAAGCACCCCCATTCGACGCAGTATCACGGTTTTTGAAACAAGCTTCACTCTGGCTTTTGATGATACCTGTATTGGCAATTTGATCTTTCAACTCTCGGGCATGAGTCTGCACGACAAACATTCACATAAACCAAACATTCTTGGAAGTGCACACCGACCAAGGAGTTGCTGCGTACCTTGCTTTGCGACAGTTCTCTCTTTAGGTTGATCACCTCTGCCCGAAGTGTCATGTGGTCCGAAGTCAACTGATCTACTAATTTGTCCTTGTTACGCAGTCGTTGTCTCAAATTCTGCACTCGACATGAATAGCTTAATCGTTACAATTCTCTGGCAACTTTTACGCGTTTTACGCACCTTGTTTGCCAGCCGCAGTTCCGCGGCAAGCCGCCCTTCCCCAACAGAGAATCCTCCACGTCCGCCAAGACCCAGCATGTCTTGTTGGCTAATAAGCCATGACCGCTGCAATGTCGAGTGCGCCTCTAATGCGCTGCGCAAAAGGGTAGACTGTTGATTAAACATGTGCTGCATCTCGCTCGTTGACGGAGACAGAAAAAACTCGCGAGCATCCACGCTGTCCAGTCCTTTCGCCAGCTCACCACCAAACCTTCGTTTTTGATTGCCAGACCCTGGCTTTGACAGATCTCCAAGAGCCATAATCACATCCGTTCCTTCTGACAAGCCAATGCTTGACTTCGTCCGCCTTGCCACTGGAGGGCCAGATGACTCACTCACGGAGCCTAATGACGGACTCCTGCTACGCATCGACCCTACCGGCTGCTGGGGTACATCTTCATTTCCACTCATCTCGTCACTCATGTACATTCCAGTATCTCCTCGGCCGTCAAATTCATCACCGCTTGCATATAAAGGCGCGGCAGAAACAAACGCAGTCCACTCTTCCAGCGACATTGCGTCCACTTGAGGAAAGTACGAGTCATCAAATGGACCACATTCTTGACGCCATCGAAGAGGCCATCTTCGTATGTACTCATCCTCATCATCGTCTTCGTTCTCTCGCGCATTTTTCAGGCGGCAAATTTTGTTGTCCAAAAAATTAAACTTCTGTTGATGAATTGCAAACTGCTCGTTACGAATAATTTTCAGTGTCTTTGCCGCCTCTATCAGTGGAAACGAGCGGTTTGCAATAAGATTGAGAGCATTGGCAACTACCTCGTCAATGTCTCTTGAAAATGCCATCGATTCTTCGTATTCTAATCGACGGATCCGTGCAAGCACCTTGAACAAATCCAGCTGTGTCCTATTGGCCTCCAATTTACCATTTACCAATTCGATCCCACACAACAACGGACCACAGAACGGCATCCCCTGTCGATTTGTGGCCATAGTTGACCAGACCTTTTCGAGCCTTTTCGCAAGCTGAACTTTAAGTGGCGTAATGAAGCAATAGGGACAGATAAATGTCCTCAATTTCTTAGAGAATATGTTTCCCTGCGGCACCTATTGACGCACAGCAATAATGTCGTCAGTACGTGTCTACACTATCAACCTCTTTAAAAAGCTAGCACACATACATATACCTGAGGCAGAGCTTCGTCTGATATTGCAACAGGGCACAAGATGCATTTCCATAGACAGTTTCTAACCATACTCTTCCGAGGCGATGCATACTTTTGCTTACTTGTCAGCTTCTCATAGTCATCGCATGTTTCCTTCTCCCCTGTGAGCGCACATGTGTGTCGAGGGCAACACCAAATTGCATTTTCATCCTTCGGAAACGGATAAGCGCCCAAACAAAATTGATGGTAGACCTTAGTGCACCCAGGAAACTCGCACACTATCAGTTCCCCTCCGAAACTGCAAAGCAAACACTTTTCCTCGGACCGCTGTTCTTCGTCACCTGTGTTGTATTCCGGTTCGGACAAAAGTTGAGCTCTGCTGCTAGGAATCGAAAGTTGAGATGGTTTCTTTTTTCTCCCGTCCAGCTTTTTTGGAAGCACAATATCCTTTACCTGTGGTGGCGAGGCTTCGCAAGACGATGACCGTCGACCTCGCGACTTTTTTATGCTGGGCCTATCTGGAGAAGAGGAACCCAAGCAGCGCTTCATTGTGCCATTCTTGGACTTATAATTGTGCTTTTTCGGCTTCTTGACCGACGACATCCTGACTAACGGCAAACTCCCATCGACTGCGTTCACTCTTGTAGAGGTCACGTCTTGCTTATCCATTGCGTCTGCCTTCGCACGCTTTAGGTCATGCTTTTCGCGTTCCTTTTCACGGTCTTTCTCGCAGTCCGGGCAAAACCACTCGCCGGGCGGAACGGCCACCAGTGGAGGAACAAGGCAATTCATGTGATATTCGCGTTTGCAATTCTTTCCGTCACATAAAATTAAAAGCGAATAGTGGTCGTCCACTCGATTACAGCGTTCGCACGGCAAGTCCACAACTTCATTTTTGCGTTCCATGCTGTGACAACAGCATAACGTGGGAATTAATGCGCATGAACGGAACCAAAACCAAAGCAGTTATCATCAAGCGTGTGTTAACGCACATGCGGTCGAAGAAACGTTTGCCGGTATCGTCGGTTACATCCATGACAAGCTTTGCTTCGTCCAGTGCTTTTTGAATAAGAGCCTGGTTGTATTTATTCGACGACGTGAGTGTCAAAATATCTTCCGGAAATGGCTGAATTGACGACTTGGTAACCCATCCGCTGCAAATTTGCAATAAATAGGAAAACCCCGGTAGATTAGTCTACGTGCCACCCTCGACCATTTCTAACACGTACTAGTTTCTACTGCCAAAAAAATAGACGCAAGCCTGTCCTTTCTTAGCTCGATACCGTGCCATTTTGGCAAACTCCCCTGGCTCGCTAAACTACAGACCAGCACGCAATTAAAATGATAACTCGCGGAATCTAACAGCTCATAGAACTAACAAGGAGCATACCCTTGCTGGCCACGGCTGGTAACGTCCCACGCGAGCAAGCACCAGTCCTCCTCTCTGATTTAAAACATCTCGTAGTGAGCTATCACTGGTTTCCAGCAGTTCTATGGTTGGAAAAGAACAAATCAAACGGATTCCGCTGGTCAGTCTCAATGTTTCTTGGCTGTAAAGGTAGAGCAATAAAATCCATAGTAGACTTTTTTGTCTCACCGTAATACTCTTCCTTGCGCTGTGCTAACTCTGCAGAGCTGATCCGTGCCTTGGCCATAGCTCCACCGTCCAATACTGACAGATCTGCCAAATAAATGGAAAAAATAGATGCGAAAGAAACAAAGTGAAGGTCAATGCACGATATAGAATACAATGAATTACTAAAGAGATAAAAGAAGACGCACCTGCAGTAGATCCCAAATCTATCGCTCGTTGCTTGGAAGAGTGGCGCTCCAATGCTCCGGCTTGACTGCAAAACTCTTTATGATGTTAACCACATCATATAAATCCGCTTATGGCTCGTACTATCGAATTTAAGAGAATTGATTTTCCTAACGACAAAATAAGTAAATAAGGCTGTATTGTTGAACACTAGATCACGGCTTTCACGCGCACTGTTGCGTTTCACCTTCGCTTAATGATAGTCTTTCTACCATGTTATGACGAGCGACATGTGCTGGGAGACTGTCGACCCGCTAGTCAACTTACCTTACTGCCGGCGATGATGCCATGCTTGCTAGGTGCTTCCACTCCCATCATCTTTATGGCATTGTTTTGCCATTCTGGTCAATGGGCGCTCGCTCATCCACACGCGCGACGTTCGTAGCAGTCGAGCGTCGGACAAGTGTGGCGAAGTGTTACGCTTGTTGCTAGTTAAGTTTGGGGTGTATATTGGTAAAGTTGGGCAAAGCGTGGTATGCGGACCTCAACCGACAAGAGGATGGTCGGAAGCAGTAGGTAGTGAATGAGAGAAACGCTGCTGTATGTTATCGTAGCAGTGCACATTTGTGAGTAGGAAAGTTGTCCGAATGTAGCGTATAGAAATGCGTCTGTATCGTGCAAGATTGAAAATGGTGAGTGGCGTATGAGGTGTCGTGCTTCTCCTATAGCTGAGTTGGTAGAGCGTGTGGCTGTTAACCTCAAGGTCGCTGGTTCAAACCCAGCTGGGAGAGATTCTTTGCCACACAACCATCGACCAGGAGCAACGTGCCCATACATAGCCTGTTGAACACTAGATCACGGCTTTCACGCGCACTGTTGCGTTTCACCTTCGCTTAATGATAGTCTTTCTACCATGTTATGACGAGCGACATGTGCTGGGAGACTGTCGACCCGCTAGTCAACTTACCTTACTGCCGGCGATGATGCCATGCTTGCTAGGTGCTTCCACTCCCATCATCTTTATGGCATTGTTTTGCCATTCTGGTCAATGGGCGCTCGCTCATCCACACGCGCGACGTTCGTAGCAGTCGAGCGTCGGACAAGTGTGGCGAAGTGTTACGCTTGTTGCTAGTTAAGTTTGGGGTGTATATTGGTAAAGTTGGGCAAAGCGTGGTATGCGGACCTCAACCGACAAGAGGATGGTCGGAAGCAGTAGGTAGTGAATGAGAGAAACGCTGCTGTATGTTATCGTAGCAGTGCACATTTGTGAGTCGGAAAGTTGTCCTAATGTAGCGTATAGAAATGCGTCTGTATCGTACAAGATTGAAAATGGTGAGTGGCGTATGAGGTGTCGTGCTTCTCCTATAGCTGAGTTGGTAGAGCGTGTGGCTGTTAACCTCAAGGTCGCTGGTTCAAACCCAGCTGGGAGAGATTCTTTGCCACACAACCATCGACCAGGAGCAACGTGCCCATACATAGCCTGTTGAACACTAGATCACGGCTTTCACGCGCACTGTTGCGTTTCACCTTCGCTTAATGATAGTCTTTCTACCATGTTATGACGAGCGACATGTGCTGGGAGACTGTCGACCCGCTAGTCAACTTACCTTACTGCCGGCGATGATGCCATGCTTGCTAGGTGCTTCCACTCCCATCATCTTTATGGCATTGTTTTGCCATTCTGGTCAATGGGCGCTCGCTCATCCACACGCGCGACGTTCGTAGCAGTCGAGCGTCGGACAAGTGTGGCGAAGTGTTACGCTTGTTGCTAGTTAAGTTTGGGGTGTATATTGGTAAAGTTGGGCAAAGCGTGGTATGCGGACCTCAACCGACAAGAGGATGGTCGGAAGCAGTAGGTAGTGAATGAGAGAAACGCTGCTGTATGTTATCGTAGCAGTGCACATTTGTGAGTCGGAAAGTTGTCCTAATGTAGCGTATAGAAATGCGTCTGTATCGTACAAGATTGAAAATGGTGAGTGGCGTATGAGGTGTCGTGCTTCTCCTATAGCTGAGTTGGTAGAGCGTGTGGCTGTTAACCTCAAGGTCGCTGGTTCAAACCCAGCTGGGAGAGATTCTTTGCCACACAACCATCGACCAGGAGCAACGTGCCCATACATAGCCTGTTGAACACTAGATCACGGCTTTCACGCGCACTGTTGCGTTTCACCTTCGCTTAATGATAGTCTTTCTACCATGTTATGACGAGCGACATGTGCTGGGAGACTGTCGACCCGCTAGTCAACTTACCTTACTGCCGGCGATGATGCCATGCTTGCTAGGTGCTTCCACTCCCATCATCTTTATGGCATTGTTTTGCCATTCTGGTCAATGGGCGCTCGCTCATCCACACGCGCGACGTTCGTAGCAGTCGAGCGTCGGACAAGTGTGGCGAAGTGTTACGCTTGTTGCTAGTTAAGTTTGGGGTGTATATTGGTAAAGTTGGGCAAAGCGTGGTATGCGGACCTCAACCGACAAGAGGATGGTCGGAAGCAGTAGGTAGTGAATGAGAGAAACGCTGCTGTATGTTATCGTAGCAGTGCACATTTGTGAGTCGGAAAGTTGTCCTATGTAGCGTATAGAAATGCGTCTGTATCGTACAAGATTGAAAATGGTGAGTGGCGTATGAGGTGTCGTGCTTCTCCTATAGCTGAGTTGGTAGAGCGTGTGGCTGTTAACCTCAAGGTCGCTGGTTCAAACCCAGCTGGGAGAGATTCTTTGCCACACAACCATCGACCAGGAGCAACGTGCCCATACATAGCCTGTTGAACACTAGATCACGGCTTTCACGCGCACTGTTGCGTTTCACCTTCGCTTAATGATAGTCTTTCTACCATGTTATGACGAGCGACATGTGCTGGGAGACTGTCGACCCGCTAGTCAACTTACCTTACTGCCGGCGATGATGCCATGCTTGCTAGGTGCTTCCACTCCCATCATCTTTATGGCATTGTTTTGCCATTCTGGTCAATGGGCGCTCGCTCATCCACACGCGCGACGTTCGTAGCAGTCGAGCGTCGGACAAGTGTGGCGAAGTGTTACGCTTGTTGCTAGTTAAGTTTGGGGTGTATATTGGTAAAGTTGGGCAAAGCGTGGTATGCGGACCTCAACCGACAAGAGGATGGTCGGAAGCAGTAGGTAGTGAATGAGAGAAACGCTGCTGTATGTTGTCGTAGCAGTGCACATTTGTGAGTAGGAAAGTTGTACGAATGTAGCGTATAGAAATGCGTCTGTATCGTGCAAGATTGAAAATGGTGAGTGGCGTATGAGGTGTCGTGCTTCTCCTATAGCTGAGTTGGTAGAGCGTGTGGCTGTTAACCTCAAGGTCGCTGGTTCAAACCCAGCTGGGAGAGATTCTTTTCCACACAACCATCGACCAGGAGCAACGTGCCCATACATAGCCTGTTGAACACTAGATCACGGCTTTCACGCGCACTGTTGCGTTTCACCTTCGCTTAATGATAGTCTTTCTACCATGTTATGACGAGCGACATGTGCTGGGAGACTGTCGACCCGCTAGTCAACTTACCTTACTGCCGGCGATGATGCCATGCTTGCTAGGTGCTTCCACTCCCATCATCTTTATGGCATTGTTTTGCCATTCTGGTCAATGGGCGCTCGCTCATCCACACGCGCGACGTTCGTAGCAGTCGAGCGTCGGACAAGTGTGGCGAAGTGTTACGCTTGTTGCTAGTTAAGTTTGGGGTGTATATTGGTAAAGTTGGGCAAAGCGTGGTATGCGGACCTCAACCGACAAGAGGATGGTCGGAAGCAGTAGGTAGTGAATGAGAGAAACGCTGCTGTATGTTGTCGTAGCAGTGCACATTTGTGAGTAGGAAAGTTGTACGAATGTAGCGTATAGAAATGCGTCTGTATCGTGCAAGATTGAAAATGGTGAGTGGCGTATGAGGTGTCGTGCTTCTCCTATAGCTGAGTTGGTAGAGCGTGTGGCTGTTAACCTCAAGGTCGCTGGTTCAAACCCAGCTGGGAGAGATTCTTTTCCACACAACCATCGACCAGGAGCAACGTGCCCATACATAGCCTGTTGAACACTAGATCACGGCTTTCACGCGCACTGTTGCGTTTCACCTTCGCTTAATGATAGTCTTTCTACCATGTTATGACGAGCGACATGTGCTGGGAGACTGTCGACCCGCTAGTCAACTTACCTTACTGCCGGCGATGATGCCATGCTTGCTAGGTGCTTCCACTCCCATCATCTTTATGGCATTGTTTTGCCATTCTGGTCAATGGGCGCTCGCTCATCCACACGCGCGACGTTCGTAGCAGTCGAGCGTCGGACAAGTGTGGCGAAGTGTTACGCTTGTTGCTAGTTAAGTTTGGGGTGTATATTGGTAAAGTTGGGCAAAGCGTGGTATGCGGACCTCAACCGACAAGAGGATGGTCGGAAGCAGTAGGTAGTGAATGAGAGAAACGCTGCTGTATGTTGTCGTAGCAGTGCACATTTGTGAGTAGGAAAGTTGTACGAATGTAGCGTATAGAAATGCGTCTGTATCGTGCAAGATTGAAAATGGTGAGTGGCGTATGAGGTGTCGTGCTTCTCCTATAGCTGAGTTGGTAGAGCGTGTGGCTGTTAACCTCAAGGTCGCTGGTTCAAACCCAGCTGGGAGAGATTCTTTTCCACACAACCATCGACCAGGAGCAACGTGCCCATACATAGCCTGTTGAACACTAGATCACGGCTTTCACGCGCACTGTTGCGTTTCACCTTCGCTTAATGATAGTCTTTCTACCATGTTATGACGAGCGACATGTGCTGGGAGACTGTCGACCCGCTAGTCAACTTACCTTACTGCCGGCGATGATGCCATGCTTGCTAGGTGCTTCCACTCCCATCATCTTTATGGCATTGTTTTGCCATTCTGGTCAATGGGCGCTCGCTCATCCACACGCGCGACGTTCGTAGCAGTCGAGCGTCGGACAAGTGTGGCGAAGTGTTACGCTTGTTGCTAGTTAAGTTTGGGGTGTATATTGGTAAAGTTGGGCAAAGCGTGGTATGCGGACCTCAACCGACAAGAGGATGGTCGGAAGCAGTAGGTAGTGAATGAGAGAAACGCTGCTGTATGTTGTCGTAGCAGTGCACATTTGTGAGTAGGAAAGTTGTACGAATGTAGCGTATAGAAATGCGTCTGTATCGTGCAAGATTGAAAATGGTGAGTGGCGTATGAGGTGTCGTGCTTCTCCTATAGCTGAGTTGGTAGAGCGTGTGGCTGTTAACCTCAAGGTCGCTGGTTCAAACCCAGCTGGGAGAGATTCT